GACTAAGCACTTCACTGTGCCTTAGGACGGAAAAATGGTTAAATGTCAAATTTACCCCAAAGCTGTAAATATGACCCAAGAGTGGTTTATGTGTTCATCACATGTGCAGCCTGAAACTGTTTACCCTGGCAAAAACTGAAAAGGTTATCTGATAGAAATGTTTAACTATTTATGTACTAACATTATGTCTACAATACGACAAAAAGGCTGATGTTTATAAACTAATAGGACAACAAAGAGTGAACAGGGACCTGCTGAAACTGCGGCGAGCTGAGCGTGTTGTGGAGCTCCTCTGAGCTCTGAGGCAGAGACTCTCCTGACGGCAGGTAGGGCATCAACCTCTGCTGCACCTCCGGGTTCACCAGGATTGGCGCCATGACTTCAGGTGTCAGGACGCTCGCCAGATCCACTGCAGGTAACAAACACCACGGTTAGTCGAACAAACAGATTACTATTTACACAGCCAGCTGTTATTGAGCCACATTCACTTTCAGTTTGAGTCTGTTTTCTTTCCATCTAAATGTAAGTCTTTGAGTGCTGTTTTGTTTGTGCTCTTTACCAACTCCTGAACATTTCTGGCACCTCTGCTGCCAAATATGTTAATAGGCTGTCACTAAGTGTTGTCTACATGCTGTTTGGGTGCAGTACTTTAAGTTTTAGGGCTTTTTGTTTCTCCTGGCTGCAGCATAAAATGACCTAAGAAACAAAGAGCTGACTCTGGTTGCAGCTGCTGATTCAGTTGATATTTCTCTACAGAGTACATTCACCTTTCACTTGCAGGTAGTCATGTCACAGAATATTGATTAAAGTTGCTCCTTTCGTAGCCCCACAGCTAATTTAGACTCTTTTATTTACTGTCCCTACACCTTCTGCTCTCTCTAGTTTTATATGAGGTGAGGGTGATAAATAATATCCATGAAGCAGGAAGGAGCGCTGTGCCTAATGTAGTGTAGCACAACAACATTTAATCAAAACAGTGGCAGACTGCAGTGTTTGCTGGGGCTTCCTGCTCCTGCAATAGACTGATTGTATTAAGTTAAAATTACATGTCATTACAGGGACTGTTGCATACACAATTCGTATTATCTGCTGCATAATTACTTAAAACGACACTAATTGGGTCATAATTATGTATTGCCCCTCAGGTGGTTGTAAAAGTTTTTCTCTAATCACACTTTGGGAGAGCTCAGTTTTCAGTTCACATGAAGCAACACGTCTATAGTTGGTCTCTCACCGCCCTGTCCGCCGGCCGGCACGTTCATGGTGGCGAGGATGCTCTGCAGGTCTCTCAGCTGGATAGGCTGTGTGGGGTTTGCTCCCCCCGCAGCAAGAGCAGACACCGCTGGGGTGGTGGGGGTGGTGGCCGTGGGGGAGGCTGCTGAGGTGGCTGAGGGAGTTATGGGGGTGGTGGGCACCTGGGAGGAGCCGAGCCGGCTGGCAGTAGAGGTAGAGGTAGGGGTGACGGCTGTGGAGGGACTGAGAGAAGAGAAGGGGAAAAATGATTTTATGATGTGAACCGTTTATAACGTACCAGATAAAATAGCAAGAAGAGAGCAAATTATTCACTGCCTCCTTCATTCCAATTCCATTGATTGAGTGGGGGACCATCAGAAACAGAATCAGGTAGTATTTTGGAAATCCTTTACCTGCAAAAAAATGTATTAAAGATTTTTTATTTCATGCCTTTCTTATTGAAAAGCTGTTTCAGACAGCTGATTTTGTTACTCTCTTCAGCCTCACGTCATATCTGCCCCTCATAGCATCAGCATCGTGCCTTCTTTGTCAACCTGCTGAATTAAAAATATTAAACAGAAAGTATAAGAGATGTTTCTTTGATATTTTTAAGATGTATAAAACACCTTGTGGAGGAGTTGCTTGCTGCAGGAACACTGCTGCTGCTGCTGCTACTGCTGCTGCCCAGGAGGTTGGCCAAGCCGGGACCAGCAAGCGCTCCGAGACCTCCTGTTTGTCAAAAAACAAAACCGCCATAATTAGCATGAAGCTGTGTTTACAAAGATATTCTCTTTTCTCTGATTAGCATCTGGTCACACCATCAGATGTGCAGCTTGAGACTTAAGTGAAGAAGTTACTCACCGATCCCGCCCAGTCCTGTTGGTCCAATGAGCTGCATAAGCTGGTTGTGGCTCATGTTACCCAGAAGGCTCTGCAGACCTCCCTCACCTGTACATGAGAAAAACAAAAAGGGGCATCCAGCATCATAATGAGATTTCAAGGACGCTTTTTCTTAAATCATATTTCAGGTGGTCGCACATTATTAGGTGGTGAGCATTTGTTACCTCCTAGAGCGGACAGATCATGTCCTCCACTGCCACCACTACCCAGAGCCCCGGGCATGGGTGGGTTGTTGAGGTACTCGTTCACTTTACGGCAGTTTTCCTCATCCTTGTCCGTCTTTGGCTCCTGAGATTTAAAAAAAAAAAAAAGGTTTTGTGTTGGGCTAGGTTGATGAAAAACAAAACTGGATTAACAATTACTGCTCGTATCTTCCTGAAAACTAACAGAAAGGATAAAATACAATTTCTTAGACCTTTTTAGTCAACACTGACGATGCTCCCTTTAAAGTCTCTGTGTTACCAAAAGAAAAAAGTACAACATTTTCACACAGATGTCAATTGTTTATTTTCTGTGGACAATTTAAAGCAGCAAATTCAAGTAACCCTACTCAGTATTTGGGATATCAAGTTAAAACTATGGTGCCCTTGTTCATGTTCAGAAACATATAGACCAGTATAACCGTGATTTCATAGTTTTGGAGCTCTATGATACAAAGGATCAAGCTTTGGCTTCACATGTGATGCTCATTAGAATCAACGTATTGTTGTTTTAGTCTTTCTATGAAAAACTTTGAATCATCACAGCCTTGTGTTTTAATTTATGATATAAAATGAAAGATTTCTGCCACTTTCTCTTTGTTTTTCCCACGTTCAGGTAGATTTAGCTTTAATAAGAGACTAAATTATCCTGTAAAACAATGCTGCTGCCTACCTGCATCCAGAAGAAAAGTCTTTTGGAGCCTGCTTTGAACTTCAACACGAAGACCCTCCCAGTGGTGCACTGGTTCACCCGTTTGAACTCACAGTCATCAGGGAAGATGATCAGGTCCTAAAACCAAATCATGTAAAATTGTTAGCAAAGTCAGAACACTGGTCTAACTAGTCAGACATGCTGACATTCACAGTAACATACGTCATCCACGTTCCCCGTGGTCCGATCCTTCCAGCAGAAGTGGATGAGGGAGTCGTCGGTCTGCTGGATGTAGACCTGACCTTTACGCTTGTCGGGGGTCACCGTGCTGCCCTTCATGGTCATCTTGCCCGCACGAAACTCCACCAGATACTTGCTGGAGGAGCCGCGGGACCCAGACACCATGCTGGGGAAGAGAGCTCCAGAAGCCATGATGAGAAGGACAGACCACTGCGGGGACAGAGAGGAGGAAGGTCAGCGATGCACAGAAACACGTCATGTAGGAAAATATATATTCATACACGATTTGTTCACCTCATTCTGAAAAGTAATTTAAATTTAAATCAATAGGTGATATGCAAAGGTTTTTTTATTTTTATTACTGACGTGTTTAAATATAAATTCCATCGCTTAGATTTTTGCAAAATAACTCAATATAACAGGGACTTTGTTTAAGATTGCCGATAAATGTCTGAATAATAGAAAGACTATTTATCTGACTTTATGCATTTGGGGTTGTGTCTCTTTGTAGGATGACAAAATGAGATTAATGGTGGTCCACACAGAAGACTTTTCAAGGTATGAGGCTGTCTTTATTTTTCTGTGTCACTGCTTATGAGTGTTATCCAGTTAAGAGTCACGTATGCATGTTTAAAATAATAATTTTTATTGCTAATTAATTCTGGACATATCTCTAACCTACTATAACATTCAATCAACAGCTTCTGTTTTTTTCCTAAATTTAATAAAACGGATCTTGTAGATTAAATTAAACTATCTAGTATACGAGATAAAAAGGTAAATAATCAGATTTGTTACGGACGAACAAAACGACATAAACAAGTCATCCCAGTGCTCCCATAATAACCAGGCTACTGGAGCAGCCACTGTAGCCACAGATGACTCTGCATCATCGAGCTAGCAGCTAATATTCAGCTGATGGTGGTCACGACCGAGATGCAGTTTTAAACGTTCACATTGGTGAAATAAACACACACCAACTCCACGTTACAAATGTTCAATTATATCGTTAAAAAATATGTTTGTTTTTTTACTTACATGTTCTCACTGAAATTCCGTTTAGCCTGAGAGCAGTCTCACAAACAGACGATAATCCTGATTGGCTGGTTTCCGCTGGTGCTTTGGTGTGATTGGTCGATCCATGTGTCAATAGTGAAGGCTTTAAATGTGCTGCGCATGCTCGGTAGAGACGTCACAATGTGTGTCATACGTATCATTACCATTACACTGAAGCTGTATGGTTAGTCTTTCAATACAAATAAACACATTATAAAAGGCTTTATAAATTATAAAATTACTTATCAGTGATTAATGAATATTGATGGTAAGGATCAGTAATTAATTATTGTAAAACACACCTTAATTTATGTTTTTAAAAATAGGTGAAGTTTATTTTACATTGTGGGAGATGAAGTTTAATATTTAACAAAGCTAACAAAGCAAGATACAACTCACATCTATGATCCTAAATGTTAACTAATATTTTTGGACACTATATTGGAGGTATTTACCCAATAATGACTTTTATTTTAGGACTATCCAATCTCACCTTGTGAAAAGGAGCTATAAAAATATATTATATTTTGTTAATTTTTTGTTAATCCTATTTTGATGTATTCTTATGTGTGCTAATAAATAAATACAAATATACAACATTTCTACAAGCATTATAAAGACAAAGCTAAACACAGCATTAATGTCGGCCACACTGGTGTCTGAATCAAAATTCACACTACAAATAAAACCGATCTTTTTTCAGACAATGACAAGGCTGGTAACTTTAATAGTCCATAATTTATTTCTCAAATATGCCATGTTTACATATGGTTGAATGTGAATAACCGTATGTGGAGATAAAAACAGGAGATCAATGAACTTACGATGTAAACATTGTCAATCTGATGCTATACAGAACATGAGAATGAAGAGTACGAGACTGAGACTAAAACCTGCGGCCCTGAGTGTCTGCAGGCCTCACAAAGTGCTTTGAACTCAGAGTAAAGTCTAGAGCAGTGGAAGGAAGACATGAAGGATTTTTCACAACGCAATATGTGCATTGGACTGTGAGCGTTCACATGTGCAGTTTACGCAAAGGTAAGTGCTTAGAAACAAAGAGGAACATCTAAATACCACCAGACAAACGCCCTGTATGATGTAGGTGCAACACATTCATTAACGGCTGCCTTTGTAGTGTTTGAAGCACACAATGGCCACTAGCTAAGGAGGATGAAGGATTTCTATTTGTTTTTTTTCACATTGTAGAAGGGCGGATGGAGCAGTTTGCATAGGTTCATGATGGCTGCAATGTCCTGGTCAGTCTTATATGCTGCTTGCAGCTTTGACTGCTGGAAAATGGTGCAAGGGCATCAACCTGGGACTTCTGAAAACAGTCAGAGTACTTTATAAATGCCAAGAGTCAGAATGGAACAGCTTTCTCTTCAAACCAAATGTTTTTCAACTGTCACAGAGAGAATTAAGTCAAAATTTGCCTCAAATTTTCTCCTTCCATGAACTATAAATCTTAGAGAAATAAAAGCACATACCATCTGATCTGACTTAAACATCCTGGTAACATTATCGCATTAAAAACAAATGTCCAAAGAAAGCCTCTAACAAATCCTACTACAAACGTCTCAGAAAAACAAAAAAAACAAAGAAAAACTAAAGTTTCAGAATAAAACTATTGAATGGTAGGTGTATGTCCATTGGTACATAACCAACAGGAACTGAAGACAGCTAATTTTGGCACTTTTTAAGGTGCCTATAGAAAAAAACTTTCACAAATACAGGCTTAAAAAACAAACACGGCTCAAATAGAAGACTACAGCTAACTAGGGAGCTAACTGGTGGCAACATTATACTTCCTGTTTACGCCCCCACAACGATGGGATGTGTAGATCCAAAACTTAAACATAATTACGCCTCAGTTAGAAACAAACAAATACGAACAATAACAGCATTATTATTGTTTTGACTGTTAAAAGGCTCACAATGTAAGTACGTTATATCTCTTAAAACCTTCGGCTTTTAACCAATCAGTCTGCGTCCCTTTGCTTTACTGTTTTATGTGAATGCATTTACACCATCATATTTAGTGCACAAAAGGTTTCTTATGGCTTTAACTTGTGTAAATAATCTTCTTGGTTAGCATGCATGCACCAATAATTATACACATGACTTATGTTACAGCTGAAGACGCTATAATGTACCAACGATATCTGTTTACTGTGCAGGTAAATGAGGTTATAAGCAGCTTTTGTCTCTATTGTGAGTCTCCATTCACAGAAAATAATCACAGTTGTGACATGTTAGGGATGTACGCAGCTAACTAAAATAGACATCTAAAATTCAAATAGGTGATATTTATAAATGTATATAAAAGTAACAGATGTGTTGAAATATCCCCTGATATTTGAATGCAACTGGACTGAAGTGTGTGGAGCATCTACAGGTGAGGTTATGGCCTATTACCTGAACTAAAATACCCTTTAGAGGTCAGAGCTTTGTGTCCTGCAGTTGCATGATCCCAAGCATACAGGTGAGCCCTCAGCAGGTGAGTAACACATATGGACTATTATTATAATTAGGGCCTATAAAGATGAAAGATGTCAACATTTACAGTAAGTAAACTCTAAAAAAAAAATCTTCTTTATATAACAATTCTCTTTCTGTGGACGAGTTTCACAGTCATAATCTGGTAAACACTCTGATGTAAGTTTTTCATTGATTCACACAAAGACACAGTACCAGTGAGCGTCGCAGACACAGTTTAAGATGCTGAGAAGTAAAGGGAATCCTATCAGAGAGGAGATCTTCATTCTGAGCACCTCCTGCGTCAATAGATGTTGGGGCAGTCGGTATAATTCCTGTCAAAGTATCCACCTGTGTACAGCCAATCCTCAGCTCCGGTGTGAGGGTTTGTTGCCATCTTGAACCACCTGCAAAGACATTAAACATTCAGCACTTGTTGATAGCTACAGGGTTAAAGAAGTAACTACATTACATGGGTGATGTATAACTGAGAAGCTCTTTCCTGCATTTGACCATTTTAAGTAACAGAAGCTTTAAAAACTGCATCAAATGATAAAACACCATCCAACAGTTTGTTATCCTTAGGCTACATTTGAGAACTTGCTAAAGTGATTACAAATACAAACTGTATTATTTTGTGATGACAACAGACGTAGACTCTAAGATAGGTTTATTTAAAAGAGCACGTCTTTCTGTTCTGTTTTTTTCACATCCTTAATAGACCCCGACTGACTTACCGGCTGATATTAGAATATTCAGTGACTATCAGTGTCGCCTAATTTGATCACGTATTACTAGATTTATTCACCAGTCAAATAGTATTTAATTTGAGTATCATTGAATTACACTAGCAATCCTCTTTCACCAGCAGAGTGTGCAATTTGGATTACAAAAAGCATTATCACTCTCCAGAGTGTCGAGCAGTGATGCACATACACACGTTGTTACTTTCTGTTTGAGTGATCGTCTTGTCTTCATACTGTATATATTTCCCACAAGTGTTTGATAAACTGCATTTGAGGGATAAATGCAATAAATGTGTATATTTATATATATATCTAAAGATCAAAGATAGATCAAAGTAAGATATTCCTAATATCGGTATCTGCACCAAAAAGCTATATCGGTCGGGCACTAATTATAAATGACTGATCGGACATGAGACAAATCTCCTCAACATGCAACTGTCTCAATTAAATCTCAAGTAATCTTTTTTCATTTATTTGACTCTGTATTTAGTGATGTATTGATGTAGCCTTTAGTTGTTCTACAGCATAAAAATCAAACAAGTAAAACAGGAACTTATGTGTTAAGTAAAAGGAAGTAGTTTGACCATTTGAACAACACATTATGCTGCCATAGAATTTATGTCACTCTGAACATGTCTCAGAGAGTCTTTAGGTGGAAGTGAAAAAAAAGTGAGTTACCTTGAAAATAAACATTAGAGTTAAAAAGAAAGAAAAAGAAAACAGACCGTGTTGACCACTCCTCCTTGTCTTTGGAGCGTTCCCTGCGTGATGCTCTTTGTTTCTCCTCTAATCGCTCTTTCTCTGTATTTGCTGCGTCTAAAAAAGAAACATGAATGAAGAAGTCATTCCACAATCAAAAAGGATCCTGCTCATGAAATCATGCAGGCAGGAGACAGTTTCAGCTTCCATTCTCATCAGCGCTTTAATCCACTAAAATGTGGGGGAAATACATCTTGAAAAAAAATGTCTGGAAAGGTTTTGCAAATCAGACTTCTTAAACTTATTGTTCAAAAGGGAAATTCTCCTTCACAGCCTTGTGCAGGCTTGACAGCATTTTGTATCTCGCTCTTGTTAATAGATGGATGTGTGTGAACCCCTCAAGGCATGTTTTGATTGTTTTACTGAATTAGTGACATACTCCATTATGTCATTTTGCACATTGTCAAAACAACAATTAAGATATTATCTTAAACGATTTATATCGATCACTCCTACTTGAATGTCAACACTGGGGTCTGAGAGGAAACAGTATTTTGATCCTCTCTATGCCCGCTATATACCGTCGATTTGACCAATTCTGTCTTTGACTCCTCTCTGTATGTCTGAAGTCAAAGGCTAACATTACCTATGTCTCCATTTTCCATGGCTCTGATGTCGGGCCTCAGCCGGCAGTCTGTTGGCGCCAGGAGTCTCTCCATGGCGGGCTCCAGTTCATTTAGTGTCATGGCAAAGCTTGTAAAGTTATACATCTACACAGAAGGAAACACAGCACAGGATAGTTCAATGACAGTTTTATGGAAATCTTAAACCAATTTATGAAGTATATTTCTTCAGTTTGTCTGTGTGATATTGACCTGTGCGGAGTGAGCAGGCCGCGGCGTTATCCTCCACAGTAAGGCACTTCCTGGTATCACAGTCACAGTCTCTTGAACGTCCGGCATCTCATCTGCCTCGTCACCTTCACAGCTTTGTTCCTATACACACACACACACATATAAATGACGTTATCAGACATGGACTAGCTTCCTAAAGCCTGCAGTACGTATGGTTCTTATGCAAACAGGTGATTCACAGAACTACAGTTGCCACAAATTCAAGACGTCTCTCAAGCAACAATGCATGTCATTGCAAGACATAATGGATCAGTGCTGGCAATGATCTAATCATACACTACACTGGAACTAGACAACAGCAGTAGCACACTACGAAGATCACATACATGATTACCTTACCTTCTACTAAAGCCACTGCATGTTATTGTGAAAGGAAAAGATGTTGTTTGAGAAAAGAATTTAGAGTGAGGAGGAGCGTTCACAGATTACTTCACGTAAGTGAGACAGAAAAAAAAACTAAGTCAAAGACAAACGAGAGAACAGACTCGAAACAACAGTTCAGTCCGAACAGAATGTACCGTCCATCTGAGCGTCTCGCACCTGTTTCAGCTTTTTAGTGTCCGCCCCCGTCTTCTTTCTGTTTGCTTCGTAAAGCTTGGGGTCCATGCTGTACATGCACTCGGTCCACTTCCCATAGATCACTCTCCGCTTCTTCTTACTGGTTAAACAGTTAAGAAGTCAAATTTACTAAAGATAAAATGAATCCAAACAGCTGACCATCGTTGTTGTGCTCATCTTACCTTTTGTCTTGGATGTGACCTTCTACTTTGTGCAACTCTTTCCCAAACATGCCGCACGGTTTGAAGTTTAGCACGCACTTATCTCCCGTACTGATAAATCAAACAAACAAAAATAATTCTGTCAGTATTTGCTACACTGACCCGGTTAGATCTTGGAGTTTAACATTTCTCATCATACCTGTGGTTGACGATCTCCACAGTTCCGTACTGCTCAATCCAGAGTTTCCCCAGGATAATGTTATGAACACAACACAAGGGGTTTGTCCAGGTGTACACCTCTTTATGTCTGTGAGAAAAAGAAAACAACACAATCTTAAAGTGATGGTTTCTTTTTTTCAATCTAGATGAGAAGACTGATATCACCTCTATGTCTGTCTTCAAAGGGAATGTTTGCCCCTGGGTAAATATTTGTAGAATATTTAGTGAAAGCAATAAACTTCTCGCTGCGTGCTGAATTAAACAAGAAAGACGAGGTTATCTGCTGGAAGCGCCTACATGTGCCAAGTTAAGATGAATTGTACAAGTAGATTCCCTGCATTTCTTTAGACGCATTCTTTGGCGTGAATGAGCGTTAGAAATGTGCGAAATTTCCCTTTAAGTTTGAACATAGAGCAGCTTATTAGTTTGATAAGCTACAGACTTGAAACACAGTGAAACAGCTCTCCTGATTCTGTCCAAATGAAACCAAACGTTTCCACAGAGAGGTCTAAAGCTTCTACTTCAGAGTTGTAGTTCTATCTCATGTTTATCAGACACTTGTGATTCTAATTTGTGAACTTTAGAGGTGCTTCTTCTCTACTATCGTCTGCAAAATAGAAATAAGTAATTTTATTAAAAGATGCTTGGCATAATGACTTCTTGAGTTCTCACATTTTCAAACAAAGTTAGACTTAAATATAGTGATGGTGTAAATATGTGATCATGTTAGAAGGTATCAAAAACTTTAGTTTTTAGGGCCAGCTTCATAAATAAAACAGTGACTGACAGATCATGTTAAACAAATCAAAGGAAGCTAAAACAAAACCTCACAACTACAACATAACTTATCAAAGAGCATGTGAGCGTGCAGATGTCTACAGAAAACACTCACTTCAGTAGCTCTAGCGTCATGGTTCCTCTGGGCTCCGCTTCCACACTTTTGCCCCAGAACTTGAGTTTGGGGTAGATGGTGCCATGAAACTCGAACTCTTGCTTCAGAGACTGAGCGTGGAAGGCACTTACAGGAGGGTGGTGGCTCACTTGCTCTGAGATCAATCTGTATCCTTCGTCCTCTCTTTAAAAAATCAAAATGAAATAAAATCATCAGGTTCATTTATGTCCTCCTGAAATCACAACTGTCCAGTGCTGTTTCATCTCCAATACCTTGTGAGTTCATATGTTTCCCCTAGTAAAGGATTAAACGGCTTTCCGGTTCTTTCCCATTGAGATGCTACAGCTGACACAGCGAATGCAGCAACAACCTGTCACAGAGATATGAAGTTCAGAGGACTGAATATGTGAAGTTCAACTCACTTTTTAATCATGAAACAATCTCATCATCTAGCTTTTTTTTGCTGACTTTCTTTTTTACACGTGAAAACAGGACTGAATACATTTCAGTTCTAGACGGTTGCTGGACAAAACAACCTTTATGAAGCATCACTTTGGAGCATAGAAAGTTTAATGAGCAAAACTGAAATTTTTTTCTGACATTGAATAGGCTAAATAATGAGATATTTGATCAAATGGAATATTTTTTTGTTAAAAGATGAAACTTGAGTATCCGGGACATTCGGCTGTCCAGGTGTAATTACAACAGTATGCACACAGAAGAAGACTGAGATGAAAAACAAATAACAGTAAGCTCATTTTGTGACTAAAGAAAAAACAGAACCCAAGAGTGATATGTTATCTCTACCTGCATGCGGTCTATTGAGTCAGACAAACTGCAGGCTTTGTGGATGAGGTGAGTGTGCTCCATGTACTCAGAGATTCTCTGGAGAAAGCTCAGCGGCTCGTTGAACACGACTGGCATCGCTATTTTAGACAGCTCCTGCATGACAAACATGATCAAAAGGGAGGATAGATTAGCAGGAGAAATACAGAGGTAAGCTCTCAAAAGTCACATTCACAGTGTGACAATGTTGTGCAAAATGTTTCCAATCCAACAACTCATGAAACATATTCAACTGTTATGTAACAAAACGGCACATCCTAAGAGCTGAAGAAGTAACAAATAATGTGTATTCTATTGATTTAATTTTAATTTAAGGATATTTTGGGTTCTTTCACACAGATTTCAGACCCAGAATCTTCTAATTTGACGTCAGAAATTCAGATGACACTTTTCTGAATAGCTGAATATAACTATAAGTCATATTTTAGTTTGATTAGTTGTGCAGGACTTACCATGCCAATGCATTTCTTCAGTATACTCCAAACACTGAAATTGTTCTTGGAGATCATGTCAGCAGGTAGAGTTTTCCTGGGGCACATTTGGACCAAGCAAGGTTAAAAAGATGATGTGGGACAAAAAGAAAAGTATGACAGTATTTCTGGCTCAAAGTGTGGCACAAAAGTGTGAAAGCAAGTCTTTAGAGAACACAATGTACTACATCTAGAAATCTAGAAAAGGTAAAAAAAAAAAAAAAAAAATGGTCCGTCTTGTCTTGTTACTCCAACAGTAGTAGTTTTGCAGAGGAGGTGCTCAGAATAAAAAAAATGCAGTTGCACTGGCTTCATCTGCTTCCACATGTGAGTGTATGCATGATAACCCCCCCCCCCCCCCACCCACCCAAATACATGTGTGGTCTTGTGTTAACATGCACACAGCCCCACACACACACACATGAACACATGCATACCACACATGTGCAGGATTCCTTACCTGCGCTCCCACACTCCATTCTCCTGTGAGCAGCAGCCACCGGTCACCTGCTTGTTGTCAAACACCAGGGCATCTTTGAAACTGACTTCACAGGAATCATCTGACTCCAGCCCTGAAGGAGACAAGAGGGGGAGGGTCAGGACCCACGACGCGCGCGTATTTCACTCCAAGACAACGTCTCTGTGACTCTCTCACCTGTCTCGGCGTCGTAAAACTCTTCCTCGCTGTTCATTCTGGAGCAGAGAAAAGTAACTGAGCGTTATTCAGAAGTCATGTTTCCACCGTCGGCCTGTCCCTGCAGCTCCAGCCTCTCTGCAACCATCACAGGCTGCCAACCTGCAACAGCACGGACTCGTTACCACCAAGCAGAGCAATCGTGCCACTACATTATCTTGTCCATGCTGTGAATATCAAAACAACAGCATTCTAGCTCACGACCAGAAGTCCTGTTTCCTTAAAGAGCATCTGCTGATAGTTAGCAACCTAGCTGACTAGTAAGCTACCTAGCCGTTAGCGTTTGGTGCTGGACTGAGTTAAAACGTCATTTGGAGGGTAAAGAGAAGATATTAGACGAAGTTACCAACACAAACAACGACACGAAGATTAAAATACGTTTCATTATGTATACCTGCGAGTTGAGTTAAGTTAATGCTCTATTGATAGCCTATACAATACGAGGTGTAACTGCCACTGGAACAGGGGCGGAAGTGGGCGGTAAGGACACCGTGATTGACAGGTCCGCCAGCCAGTCACATCCCAGCATGGACAGAGGTCTGGAAATAAACCTGAAAACAAAAACAACAGATCAGTGGAGCGTCTCTTTTGAAGCACAGATTTATTTAACAGTGTGAGTGAGGTTACAAAAATCTCATTAGAATAGAAGCTGGGTGGACATCAGACTTCCCTTAGGTTAAGATTATGTTTTAATTGAAGTTTGAAATATTAAAAAAATATATTGAAACCCGCCCTGTGAAGATGTTTGTGGTGTTATTCAATTCAATAATTCTGTATGAACAACAAATGTGATTATCCGAGTTTGTTGATCGACAAATGAACTGAAACGCACACAATACAACAATACATGAAGTTCAGCCTGTGGTGCTACAAATATTCCACAAGGTGGCATCTTTATACACCAACTCACCTAAAAATGCATTAACATTAGAGATTTAACATTAAATCTGAACTAGGCTAAATACATGAAATATCTAAAACCTCAATGACTTTGATTTGAAGTGACTTGAAGTGATTTGTAAATACTCAACTTGTTTATTCGGCCATTCATGTTTCCATTTTTGCACTGCGTGTATTTTAATGTAGCCTGTGTTTATTGATATTTTAGGACTCGTGTATTTATTTATATTTTCATATTTGCACCATAATGAATCTCGCAGTTATTACATCGCTGCATGCAAAATATTGGCACAATAAAATGTGACTAAAAGCCTCCACACTTAATTCTTTCAGACCTCGAAAGAACAAACTCTACAAACCAACAATATAAAAAGCTTGAGGATAAAAAGCCCCTGTGATGAAATGAAAAGCAAGGCTCCACATGTGACAGATACACAGCCAACAGAAAGGCAATAGATGAGGACAATGAGCACTACACTCTGAACACAGCTCTGACTGTGTAAAAAACATGGGCCTGGATGGGAGATGGATGGATGTTCAAGGTTCAAGGTCAACTTTATTATCCCTGAGGGGCAATTTGCTTTACAGCCAGCACTGATTAGAAAACAACTGAAATACTCACAATTAACTCTAAAATACATTCATCAAGGGGGGAGGATTTACATGATGCTGTTATAAGGAGACCAGAGTAGCTGTAGAACGATCTGATGAAAATGGATGAATAGCCTACTTGAAATATAGCCAATTCATTTTCCTCAGTAACTTATAGTTTAATTATTTATTCAGGCTAACTCGGCTAAACATTGTTGTAGTTTTAAAAAATATATATATTTAAGACGTCATTCCTACCCTTATATAAACTACGTGGGAAACAAATACTTTATTTTCTGAGAAGAAAATAAATCGTCGAGTAATTTCTAACGGTCAATAGGGTGATTTTATTTTGGAAATGATGACCGGAAGTCATTAACAAACTGAATTAGTCCTCGTGTCTGCCTGCTCAGCTGCCTCCTCCTCTCCTCTGTGGGTTTTTTTTGGAGGAGTTTCAGTTTTCAGGATGGAGGAGAGGAACCAGTCGGATCTCGTCAGTGCGCTGTGAGCTGCAGAACTAAAAACCTCTTAACGCATCTGTGGAGTTTGTGTGATCTTTTTTTTGGGGGGCTGAAAAGTCTGTAACCTACAGTGATATTCTTTGAAATTGTTTGAATCTGTGAAAATGAGTAGAGACGGAGACAAGAGCGCAAAGACTTCTCTCCGTAGCCAAAAACAACCCCGGACGCAGCAGCAGGTTTCTGTCCAGAAGAAGAAGAAGGATGAACTCTCCAAAGACTCACAGTCAGGGAACGACATTGGAAAGGAGATTAAATCAGCGGGATCGCTGGGGAAACGAGCAGGGAAAGTGTCGACAGGTGCCACGGTGGATGGTCAGCAGAGCCCTGCTGCGCAGAGGAAACTCTCCGACGCCAGTAACGCTTCAGAGGACCTTAGCAAAGACTCCGGCTGCTTGTCCGGGAAACTCTCCTCCTCCGACAGCAGCTCAGAGATCTCAGACTGCACCTCCGAGGGCAACAAGCAGGAATCTCCGCGCTGCAACAACGAATTAAGCTGGGTAGACGGGAGAGCTTATGTGAGGCCGGACAGCGAGAACACAGGAGACGCAAACCCGTGCGTAAAGGCAGCAGGAGATCCGTGCGCCCTCCAGCCGCATGCTGGAGGAGGACTCGGTTTGTTTGACTCCTCAGGGACATTTCTGGAGCTCATGATGGGAGAGACAACCGATGATCTTGTCCGGGAGGTGGACGATTTGAGATCAGAGAACGAGTATTTAAAAGTAAGTATAACTTTACTTTCTAAAACTCAAGTTGCATGATGTTTGCATGATTATTCAGTTTCGCACATATTTGTATGATGGCTTGTGTGTTGTTTCTCTGTGCGATCTATAGAAGGCCTTCAGACTGAACTGCAGAGGGATTTTCTGTAAATGCTTCTGTCAATCTTCATTAGAGAAGCCAGGACAAGGGAAGGGAAGCTCTGAGGCACGAATCAATAGTCAACATTTTCACTTTGTTATGTTGAAATGGGGAGAAAAACGATTAAAACAAGACGGGAATCATTGCCTTTGTTACTGTCACACAAAAAAAACAAGACATTACTCTAAAGCTATAAGTCCCTTCATTCCTTACATGGGCAGACTCCCTTCAACAGGTTTAGATTTGTTTTGTTTATTATATTCATTATGTCAATTGAGTATTATTTTACTGTTTTCACAATTTATTTTCTATGAGGATGCATGATAGTTTTAGTACCCCCCCATGATGACATCACTTTGACATCATCAGGGCAACACTCAGATTTGTAGTCTTAAGCATCAGTGACTCATAACACCTGTGATATTATCAACATTCAATTTGCTTCACCTTTTCATTGGTGTATTAGTAAAACCAAACACCTGTAACATGCTGGATGTGAAGAATTATTAGAGGAATCCTTTTTATGTCAGGACTCAAAGTTGGACCATTTTCTATAGACTTTTATGTTTGCAATGATTTTAGCGCCCCCTATGGACAAAGTGGTACCCTATTATCTTTTGCTGATTTTGTCCTGCACATGTCTGACTTCAGTGAAAGTCTTGGTTCATTTTAAAAGTCAAATGTAGCGGTCATTCAGAATATCATTAACAGAGAAAGCAAAAAAAAAAACTGTTTCTGCCATTGGTTTTCACTTACCTTGTGTTCCAAAGATAGTGTTATGCATTTGAATTTCCTACAAAGATAAGAATTACTATGTGCTGTTGTTTTTTTTTTTGTGTGCGTAGGATGAGGTGGAGGAGCTCCGCTGTGAGATGCTGGAAATCCGCGACATGTTCCAGGAGGAGGAGGTGTACCAGCTGCAGGAGCTGAGGCTGCAGCTCGAGCAGGCCAACAAGACCTGTCGCATCCTGCAGTACCGCCTCCGCAAGGCCGAGCGCCGCAGCATCCGGGTAGCTCAGACCGGTCAGGTGGACGGGGAACTGGTCAGGAGCCTGGAGCATGATATTAAGGTCAGACGTCATCTTCACTTTCATCACAGTCCCTCTGTCTGTGTGTGTGAGTGATTATGTGGTGGTATAAAAATAAAAACTCACTAACCAACCACAACCAATAAAAGCTCCTTCTCGAAAATTGGCTTTTGCCTGAATCACAGCAGTTCCAGTTTCCAACATCAAAGTGAAGATTTTGTGTCAGTCCCACTTAGCTTTTTCTCTTCAGCTCTCTGAACAGTGATTGGATTGTTCTTAAACGCTGAAGGACTTTAATCATTTGACAGCAGCCTGAGTCAGATCCGCCTGCATGCCGTAAAAACCTCCCTGCTGCTTTTTTCAGGGCCACAACAATTTCATTAGTTTGAAATGTCTTCATCATGCTTCCCATTTGTATTTTTGTCCTGAGACGGTGTAATTATGTGGTGAGTTGTTCACCATGAGTAGAAAGCACACAAGCACAATAAACCTAATTAGGTCAATAATGAGACTGTGTGGTGGCAGTGAGAGCGCGGCTGTGTGTGGTGGTGTTAAATTCCCAAAACTTTCCCACCTCTCCCCCTCTAACCCCAATCCAGTCATGAATTCCTGTCACAAGCTTTTCCTTGTTAAGTCTTCCGTTTTTTTTTTGTTTTTTTTTCACAAACCAACTGCTGTAAAACAAACATGCTGCAGTCATAACATCATGTTTATGAATATATCAAGGACCAGAAGATTTCTTTACAGCACTTTGCCTGATCGGGCCTGATTCTTCATAGAAATTCATTTAAAGGCTACAAAACTATTACTGCACAGCTAGACTCAAGCGACACAAAAAAGGCTCCTATTGATGTCAAAGAGACATGATATTGCCACAAAGACAAACAGGATGACCACTAAAAGATACAAACCATATAGAGATGCAAAAACCAACTGAACCAACTGAAAGAACACACAAAACTATCACCAGGAGACATTGTTTTAGCACAAAGAGACTCTAAATGAATATCAATGGGCAATATTACACAAGATGCTAAACTACTTCAGATAAAGAAAGACCACAAAGATGACAACTGAGAGATAAAAAGTGACAATAACCATGTGGTATTAGGTTAAAACATTTTTTTTTAAAAACAGCCATAAAGAAGCAACACAAGCAAAAAGTCCATACTACCACATACTCCAAAGAGTAAAAAAACAAAAGTTAAGTTTTGTAGTTTCAGTAAAAAAAAATAACTAGAAAGTATTTAAAAAGACAACCAATATTAACAGTAAGAGACTCTCATCTTGTATTGTGTGACAAAAATGACTACACCATGTAATGGGACAAAAGATGATGAAAAAGACAAACTACAAAGAGACAGAGGAAGAGTCTTGGTGTCATGTAGGAGGGGTTTGGGACCTTTATGTTTCTGTTCTCAGGGGGCCCACTGTCTCATAATGTGTCCATTATTGGAGCTACAATAACCTGCTGAATTTTGCTTTGTTTTCAGGTTGCAAAGAGCGTCTCTCTGCGGCTGTACAATGAGCTGGACGCCGTGCAGAAGAAGAACTCTCAGCTGGAGTGGGAAAACGAGGCGCTGCGGGAGAAGACACAGGAACTAGAAGTGGCCAAACAGGTGTTACAGGCCGAGGTGGAGAAAGCCAGAGAGGTGAGATATAAAAGCAGAACATCTCAACATATGAAGCATCCCTGCCCTTCAGTCAAAAATGATCACACTTAGTTTAATGTTAGGAAAACGGTTAGAAGTGAGTGCTGCACTGGGTCAAAAAATAGAGGAATCAGGTGGGGACAAAAGTCAAATAGCTTATAAAAAAGTTAGACTGTCCTGATGACAAACAAAGTTTGAAGTGTGCAGAGGCGGTCTTAACTGAAAGTCACTCTGATGTCGAATAAAAATCCTTTATTAGACAGGAACGTTTTTCCCAGTGCACTTCTGCTGAAAAAGTATCTTTCAAGTAAAGCAGGCGACATCTTCGTCCAGCAGTTCCACTTTTATAATGGATGAAATCTTGACAGAAACACAAGCTGCCGCCATCCCTCTGCTCAGGAATCCTTCACCACATTTCTGCTGCCACACAGCTGCACCCATCCCGGCCAGTTGTCCCCTTGTAAAGTCAGGTGACACACGACCCTGGTGAGGCTCAGCGATACGAGAGGAAGAGGGCACGGCCGGCAGCTGCCTGGTGCCACGGCAAGGGTGAAGCAGCCTGGTATGCTGAAGCCTGAACTCCAGGCGCAGCTGATATCCTCAGCTGAGTCTACAGAGAAAAGGGAGTGAGGGTGCGAGAGATTACAAAAATAGACTCTCTCTCTCTCTCTCATGCTGTCCCCCTTTCTGCTTTTATTAAGCTAAGCTAAATCTGGATCAGTGTGTATTATGGCATTCATAAAGGCGGCTGTTTGAGCGTCAACATACTGACCTACAACCATCCCCTTTTGAAGCTTTTATCGATCAGTGAACACCACACCCTGACAGGTTGAGTTTCTAGTCCACCTTTTGTTCGTGCGGCCTCCTCGTGCCTCAGGAGGCTCCCGTGATAACGATTGTGCACTTCTAATCCAGGTTTCGGCGCTTTGGCATGATCTCAGTCTGGGCTACTCATCAGAGACAGCTGCTAGTCCCTTTGATCCCAACAGGGAAATCCACTTAGATTACCTAATCTAGGAGCACAAACAGTGTAGATCCATGTGAAGAAGAGAGAACCCTTTCAGGCACTGCAGGAAATAAAACTGGATTTTCTGTGAAGCTGTTCGAAACACAAAATGCCTGACGATGCTTCAACACTTAGGAAAGTAAACAGTTTAATAAAATCTTATTATGATTAGCGACACCATTTATTTCAAATACCCTTTTCATTTTGATCATACCTATTTTTTTTACAGTTCAGGTCACAGTATTGAGATTCTCTGCAGCCTACAGGCCCACTGACCTTGAAGTGAAAAGACTCTAGCCTGCAGAAGATGGCTATTATTAACAAAGTGACATCCTGTCTAGTGTTTATATGAGCGAGACAATGCTGCCAGACAGCAGCTAACATTCCTCTCATGCTCAGACTCAACAAAGAAACTCGGCCATGTAGAGAAGAGAAGATTCAGGCATCTCAGAAAGAAGCAGACTTGCACGATGGACATTTCACATTCTGTTTATTCTCAGGAACAAAAACATAATGTTTTACTTTGAGTGAAATGCAACTGTCTCTTTACAGTTCTATAGCCTACCATTATCTAGCCTGTCCCATTAATATATGAAGCCAAATGCAGCAGCTGCTTAGCTTAGCTTAATTTAGCATAGATTAGCTTTAAGATTGGAAGCAGGTGCAAACAACTAGCCTGGCTCTGTCCAAAACATTCAAATAATATTTAATAAACAGAAGTTTTATCATTTTAAATGTTAAATTAGCACATTATATCTCGCTTGTTTGAGCCTCACCAAATAACAACAACATTTGAAGGGAACTAAACTTCAGAAAGTCTCAGCTCCCTGTCAAATATAAACCTGCACATAACCTTATGGAGTTATAAAAAAATGTTTTAACACAGAAGGTGTCACAGTCTTATTAGAGAGCTCTACAGGAGCTGGATGATTTGGTTTCCTTCAACAGGTTCAGGCTAGCTGTAGGTGGTGTTTATGCTAAGCTAAGTGTCTCCTTGCTTTAGCTTCATACTGACCAGGCAGATATAAAAGTCTATATTCCCAATGATGTCTCAGCAAAAAGATATAGACATGTATCTTAGTGAGCTTGAGACATGATTTAATTTATGTCTCTGTTTAGCTAAAGTTGTTCAGTATAGCCCAATGTCTTTCAATGGGACGCTAATGGCAGCAGCAGGTTAGCTTAGTTTGCATAAAGAATGAAAATTGGGGGAAGAGCTCATCAGGCTTTCCTGAAGTTAATTAAATGTGTTTTCGTGTTGTTTGTTGAAGTTAAAAAAACTGAAGTGAACTAATTTCCAGGTAGTAACTGATCTCTGCTAAACACTAATCCAGCCATGTAAGCTTGTAAAGTAAAATAATAATGATCATGCTTTATCAGAACTCAGCTGCTCCACGCTAGCTGTATCTGGAGTGTACTGTAAGTCAATGAAAGTGTCTGATGCTGTAGCTTCATACTTTCTTTATACTTAACGGACAGTCACAAGAGTGGTGATCCATCAGCAAGACATTTTTACCTTTCTTCATTTGTAAGTCAAAATATAGGTTGTCAAATAGCCTAGCAGTGGTTATGTCGTGTCTTTGTGTACGGAGGCTATAGTCCTCGTCGCAGCGGCCGATCCCAATATTTCCTCCCTCTCTGGATCAGTCCTACCTAATAAAGGCAAAAATCCCCACAAAATAACTGAAATAATACACATAGAGAGAAATGTATCCTGCTGAGATTTTGGCATGATTTCATTAAAGTCTCTATTAAGTCAAAGTTGTCCAGTGTTGGCTACAAAAATGTCTCCGAAGCTGTAGCAGGACTTGTACATTGCTTAATCCAGACAGTTCATTTGCTTTGAGAAAATGGCTCATCAATAACAAGTTGCTCAGTTGATTCACCTCTTTGTCATATTTTTACTTTTCAGGGCACTCTGAAAAAGAAGAGCATCCGCTCAGCGGTCAGCAGGGCTGAGAAAAGGCTCTCTCAACAGATTGAGGTATGTTGTTCATGTTCGATTTCGAACGTAGCACCTATGAACACATTTACATGCAATTTATCTTTGTCAGAATAATATTCATTTATTTGTTTGTTTTCAAGCCGGATGACAGCGCTGATCTCAGGTGCCAACTCCACTTTGCCAAAGAGGAATTAGCTCTCATGTGCAAGAAGCTCACCAAGCTGGTATCAGAGAGTGAGGCAATGCGGGAGGAGCTGGCCAAATACCGCTCAGCCTTCGGTGACGTAGATGCCAACGCGTTGCCCGAAGGTAAACGACACTCGGCCCGTGCCTGGGAGGCCGAAGTCAAAGTTCACCTGAAACTGGTGGAAGAGGAGGCGACACTCCTGAGCCGGCGGATTGTTGAACTTGAGGTGGAGAACCGGGGACTGCGAGCTGAAATGTGTGACCTGAGAGAGAAAATAGTAAAAGCAGGAGGAGGTGGCGAAGAGGAAGAAGAAGAGAACCGGGATGTGGGGGAGGAAAACATGTCAGCTTCCACACAGGCGAAAAACAGAGAAGGAAGGGATCAAAGTTTGAAAAAAGGATGCAAAACGTACGAGAAGGATGCTGAGAAAAGTAAAAGTGACGAGAAATCTTTGCGTGGTAACAAATCACAGACTGAAAGGATGACGGCTGCTTGTCACATAACCCGAGAAGGTCCTGTGGGTGGTGAGTGGGACCCTTCAGACACTCCTGATATTGAAAACAAGAAACTTGACGGAGATCTCAAAGGTATGACGGTAAATGACTTTGAAACTCTTCTGGCTCTCAGAGATCATTCCTGCATTTTGAGTTCGGCCATCCAGCTCCTGATGCCACCAACTAAAAATGGCCACTCCTCATCGCCTTCAAGTGCGTTTAGCTCTCCAACAGAGATGGACTTGACCGGCAAAGCTCAGAATATGTTCTACCCGGGGCCTTTGAACGAGGCTTTGGAGCTTCTACAGGCCATGCTGATGGGATTCATAGGGAGACTGGAGATGCTTCTTACAGGAGAAGATTCAGGGAAACTCTCTGTTCACAAGGAGAGACAAGCTTTGGAATCCAACTCCTTCTCCTTTCTTTCTGGAGAAAGCCGAGATTGTGACGCGGATGCAATGAGTAAGCAGGCGTGGGTTGACGATCTACGCACCACAGAGGTTAAAGAGCGAGACAATCAAACGGGACCGGCATCTTCCCTCCAGTCAGACCTCAGCTGCAGGGACCCAAAAATGCGCCTTTCGTTGCAGATTCTGTGGATCGTCCATCAGTGGTGTCAAGTCAAAGGTCCTGGAATCGAGGGAAAAGAGGTATTCTCATCACAAGTTGTGTTTGTAGTCTAAGAGTTTCTTAACTTAAAGCTCCTGTAAGGAACTTTTGGTGTGCGTCGATTTTGGCGCCCCCTGTGGACAAAATGATACCTCTTTTCTCTTTGCTTATTTTGTACTTTTTCATGTGTAAGCATATACACGTGTTTTTTCTTTTTTTAAACAAAAGATCTCATACTGCTTATATTAACTGTCAAATGTTTCAGTTATGGTAATCTCTGTGTCTGACACCTACACCACTGCAGTGGTTTCTGGCACTTATAATAACAATGAAGAAGTAATTTATCTCATGGCTGGTTGTCTGTTTCATAACCTGGTAAAAACTTCTCATATGAGCTTTTAATCACTAAATATATCTGTTTATTTCCATTCAGGGTAAAGACAAAAGCATGTCTGTGCTGCGGGGATTGTTGCAGGACCTCAGCACAGAGCTCCAGGATGATCCAACAGACTTTGGCAGTCAGGCCAAGGCCACTCAAGGCAAGACAGCTGAGGTAAGGATAGTGTTTACCCGTCCAGATCCTCCCTGCTGTGTGGGAGTCTGTGTGATACAGTGGGATGTCCTGACGATGATCTGTCTCCCTGGCCACAAGTGGTCGTGACTCTCGCTTCAACAGGCATCATGAAAAGACTCATGCCAGAGTATTTAGGCTAATCTCTTGAAGGGGCTGCAGCCAAACAGGACACGCATGTTCAGATGTACTGCATGAAAACACGCAGCTGATCCACTGCATTGTCCAGACTTTTAATACATCACGGTTCATGGTTCAGAGTTGTAGCTCCATATACTGCTACTTCACTTTGTTGCTCAGATGAAAATTAAAAAAGGAAGTTTCATTGCACGTCAGATAAGACATGTAATCTGTCATTTGAGTCTTTGCCATTAAAGTGTTTGTGCGCCTTTTGCACAGCACGGCTCAAGATCTGCTTTGAAGAAAAGGATTAATTTATTTAATGGTTGTTTTTACTCCTTATCCCACTGGCTAGACAGTAATCCCTCCTTTCCTCAGAGGCACGACTAGTTTGCCTTGAAAAATCAAGACTCCATAGTATCATTTCCAAAACTGTATTTTTCTTTGCTGGATGTCCTCCATTGTTGCCCTTTGTTTGCTGCGTCACGTTCTTCTTCTTTTGCGGGCTACACATGCAGCTATCACCATCCAGCTTACACCCCGCCAACCAAGTAAGAGTACAGTTAGCTGTGGAAACTCGAGCAAGATCAGGGTTTACAGCACCAAACCGTACCAAACTGCCGAACCCAAGTTGTTTTTGTATATTTATTTTTGCTGTCAAAATGGGCATTTTTAATAAGGCTGTTAAACGGACTGCCTTGGCTTTTGCAGCCAGCTTCAAGTGGCCATTCATGGAAATTCATTTTTAGCATCTTCAGTGTTGGCATTGGTTTTTTTTCCACAGAGGTTTCTGTTTGTTCAAATGATCTGAGTTGGTTTTACGTCTAAGTGCCAGACGAACCAATCCAATAATGACGCCTCAAATAAACTGAAGAGTATTGTTCAATGTTAATTAATTAATGGTTAAGGTCTCTTATATCAATGCAAATATCTTAAACCTCAGACAATTACATCAGCAAGTAGAAAGCTGTACAGATGGGTTTTCTTTTCTTTTAAGATGTAAACACAGCAGAATGCGGAGTATGTACACCATCTCTGTTACTATATTGGCATGCTATATTTCCTCCTTAGAGAATGAAGCATTAGACATATTTCGATCTGATAATGGTGCTATAGCAACAGTTAAGGAGTCACCTAGGTTATTACTATTCACACAAGTGTCACATTTAGTCATTATTTAGCCAATAGACTTTGAGATATTTCAAATATAAACCTCATGTTTGTAGTAAAAACTGAATAAGAGTATCACTGAATATAATTGGATGGATCATCTGGGGAGTGTTTAGTCATAAAAATCATTTCACTAGATGTTTCTTGAGATTCTGCATAAAGTTTTGGCTCTATATGTCAAGTTCATTAACATGTCATGACAAAAATGTGTGTGCTGTTCTCTTTGTCCAGAAGACCATCAGCAATATCTTTCATGATAAACAACACTCTGAGGCTGACAGGTCAGTGTATTCTTTATGTCTTATTTACTTTGATCTCTTGGTCTCTTTGGTCATATTTCATGTACCACCTGCTGTTTTCACAGGACTTACAGCTCGACATGGAGGAGGAGACAGTTTCCTCCACTCAGCTGTAGGAAGAAGAACTGGTGCTATGTGTGCCAGGAGGCCGCCCATCTGGACCGAGAGGACCCGGTTAAGACGTGGGACCATCTAATCATGCCGCTCAGCTTCCCTGATCTCGACTTTGAGCAGATGTCCCTGGAGAGGAGCCACACTGCCCCAGAAAAGTCGGCCTTCAGAATCTACTACAGCCCCCCGTCGGCTCGCAGGGTCCAGCTGGCTCAGCAGAAGCAAAGCCCGGTCACAGACGGAGAGTCTTTCAACTCAGCCTCTCCCTGGTGCACGCCGCTAACCTCCTTCTCCCAGCTGTGCCTGGGCTCGGCTAATAACTTGAGTGACGACATGAAGGAGATGACGGCGAGCTGGAAGCAGGCGGTGCAGAGCAGCTCACAGGAGGTGAGAGGGAGACTACAGGGGCGCAGGCAGGAGGGGGCCTGCTCGTGCTCTCAGACCCACATGAAGCCTCAGATGGTCAGCGTGGGGCTGCAGACAGACAGGACACACGGGTTAGCTACTTCAAGAAGCAGTCCATCCAGAGTCCTCAGCCCCTCCCTGCTCTCCACCCGCTCTCACCACATCTCCAAGTCACTAGATGGGTCACCAAGCAGAGGGGAGCGGTCCAGAACCTCGGCCTCCTCACCCAAGCTGTACAGGAGACACTCTGCGTCCAGTGTATCCTCTCCGTCCTCATCCACAAACTATAGCTCCTCCTCCTCCTCCTCAACTCAGTCTACCTCAAGAGACAGAGCACTTTGGAACATGACTCATCAAAGCCAGACCGGCCTCTCATGGTCCCGACAGAGCAGCCTCAGAGGTCAGAGCCAGATCTCTGTCGGCAGCACCAAGCCTCCCAGCAAATCCGCAGGAGCGAACCGTTACGGCATGGTCACAGAGTTCTTGCGTCGGGTGAGCGGCCGGGTGGACAAACCGGCTCCGGGGTCCGCGCAGAAGACAAAGAGCGGGCCGAAGAACCTGGAACGTGTTCCAGCGAGACCCCCTGCCGCTCCGCTGCACAGGAACGACAGCGTGACCAGGATCGTCAACCAGAGGTTCATGAAGCAGAGGGAGGAGAAGGGGGGCGGTCTGGGCCCGAGTGTCCGACACAGCCAGAGTAGCTCCGCCTCAGAGGTCAGTGGAACAAATGTGTACGTCTGTCACACAGTTCTGATACCTTAAAAACAAACCAACTACTAAAACAACATGTTTTCAACAGTGGATTAACTGACAGAAACACCAACTTTAGGAGGAAAACACATCTATAAACGATTACATTCATGTCAGCTGAACTCCATTTAGCTGTGCTAGTTTCAAGACCATGGTAGTGTGCCTTTTATGTCAACGTCAACGTCATGCATTTACTTAGACAACTTTCCAGAACTGAGACGATGTTAAAGTAAGAAGTGAGTCCCCGGCTTTTCCTGCTATGACAAGTTGAATATACCGACTTAAGTGACATCACACAAGGCGATGTATCAGGGTTCGACTACTCCCTCTGTAGCCTATAGTTCAAATGTGCAGTAAAATTGGTAAATCCTCTAAATGGACTTTACTTAGAGGGCGCCTTTCTAGTCTTCTGACCTCTTAAAGCGCTTTTACACTACATGTCACATTCACCCCATTTACACACACATTTACTGATGCTGAGGAGGCTATATAGTGTTAAAACAAAGTGCCCTTCAGTATTAACTTACTACATTCACATTTAAACGCCACCAACTTGTTTGGTGTCTTCCAGAAGAGCTTGGATTGACAAACCAACCTTCTGAAAGTAAGACGACCAACTCCACCTCTGAGCCACAGACACCCCTAGAAGCTCAGAGGCCATGGATTTGAATCTGACTTCGGCCATTATTATGGAATAAACCCCCCCCCATCATTTCCTGTCTCTCTTCAGCTCTCCTATCAATAAAGGAAAAAGTGGGGGCGCTGGTGGCGCAGTGGTTAGTGTGCACGCCTCATGTATGGAGGCTATAGTCCTCAAAGAGGGCGGCCCAGATTCGGATCCCACCTGTGGCTCCTTCCCCCCCCCATGTTATTCCCCTCTCTCTCTCTCCCTGAGTTCCAACTCTATCCACTGTCCTAGCTCTCCATTAAAGGCCCAAAAAGCCCAAAAACAAATATTTAAAAAAATACGCCTGAAAATAGAACTTGGGAAAAAATCACGAGTCATCATGAGTTTGGTCATGAGATGTAACAGTCTCCTTAACTACCAGAAATCGAACATGGCAACAGAAAGGCGAGATGATACACTTGAGCATGAGCTCCAGCATGATAACTTTAATCCACAACTAGCTATTTATGTATGATTGATACAAAACATTTGCTGGCCAGTAGTTCTTAAATGCTTTTTATTGTTTAAAAATGTAATATGTGGCTGGTTTTGGACCGCTTGCTGGACAAAAACAAAAAATCTAATGATGCCTAGTTGGGAACTAGAAACTTGTACGGGTGTTTTCTGATAACTTCCACACTAACTGTTTGCTTGGTTACCTGAAAAATATTGCAAATTGATCGTTAAATCAGCTTTTTTTGTAATAGGCCCAGTAAGCCTCACACACTGATACCATTATCTCTTATCTCGTCCATCTCTTTAACCAGGACAGAAACGACGACTGCAGCTCCGGCAGCACTTTGACCTTCTGCTTTGCTCGTCCATCTCGCTCCGTCCAGAGACAAACATCAAACCAGAGCAAACTCCCCCATCACAAATACTCACCTCCAGCGAGTGTGGCTGGAGACTCCACCTGTGAGTGAGCGGGCGGCGAATCAGCAGCCACAATGATCCTTTCATGACAGCTGAGAGAGCGGCCAGAGGAGGAATTTAAAATCTAATCTTCAAATGTTAACACTGCTGTGATGCAGGATGGTTGAACTGGGAGAACTGGTGGACTGTTTGTAGGATTTTTTTTAGGAGAGCTTTAAAACTTGATGCTTTCTTATGGTGCAATTCAAACTCCTCTTTCACAAACTAGCATTCTCTTAATTTCTATCAAACCAAATCCTATATTTACAATGTTCAAACTTTATGTAAAACTGATTATGCACTTATATTGTGAATTGCAGATTTTATATTATCTTTGTAGTTTTTTGTAGTGAATAACGTGTTAAATAATGTTTTGTTGATTAAACTTCTCAAATCGGATCAAATTGCTCTGTTGTTCTTCAGTCTGACCTCTTTCTTTGAAGTCTGTAGCTGCAGAAACATGTTTACTCTGCAGGATCAGCATGGACGGGGTTTCTGCTTGTTGCGTCACATGCTCTAAGAGGAAAAAGTAACGGCTAAGTAGTTAATAAGATCAGATTTCCTTGCGTGTCAGGAGCATCATCCCCGTGCCTGTCTGTCTAATTGTCTTCACTTTCACCGTCGCTGCACGACAGCAGCCAGCACATCAGAGAACAGCACTTTGTTATTTCTATATTTGAATAAACCTGGATATACAGTTTTGACTCACAGTTTGAGAAGACGGCACAGATTATCTTTGAGCAGATCAACTGAAAACACTTTGTCTCTCCTCACAGTGCTCAAGGACGAAGGGGGGGGGGGTCACACTATCACGTGGGGTCATGTTTCTGCTGCAACACGTGGTCATCCTCTAACGTTACACACACTCACACACACACTGTGGGTTACCTCCCTGTGGACAGTCCTGTTTTCAATCATCAGTTTCGCATAGTAAGTGAAAAGGTGAACCAATAAAACGTGCAGAAAAGAGATAAAAACTCTCCATTGGTTTTATTTCTAAACATACAATTTAAATATAATACAATTCAAATATAATATATTCTTCATTCTCAAGTTTTTTTTTTAATTCTGGGCTGAATAAAAATATGTAAGTGACTAAGCCACAGTGTGTTCACAGTTAAAAGATGAAAATTTAGAACAAGGGCAAGATCATGACTCATTGTGAGATGAAACAAAGTTTTTTTTTTTTACAGTCTATGGAGGGAACACATTTCTGCACTGCACATTCACAAACATAGATGTAAATCTTACAGGTAAAATGATCATCTTCCATTGTTCTAAGGACATTGTTGAATATTTATAAATTGATCTAACATGTTGCTGTACACATAAATGGTTTGATGTTTACAATGATATGTAGATTTAATGGTACTGGAATATTATGAGGCTCTTATACTTCATAAAACAAACTGGATTTGTTCTTCAACAATACGTTGCAATAATAAATACGTAATGAGACATGTTTAGGGATTTCTGGTCTCATCTGAGCACATCTTTTGTTAAGATTATTATCTGCAAAGTTTTTAAAAAGCAAGAAAGTCAAATGACCTGTGTTCAGTTTTGGTGTGCTTCAGATAGCTGACCTGTTTTTCAGATTTGTGACGAGATTTATTTCAGATAATCCAGGCAGGAGATTATCTGAAATAATTCTACTTCTAATTTTACTTTAAGAAGCAGAAGAATTTTGTCAAGCAATAACGAAGCACTTAACCCTTCAAGGTTATAAAGAAAAAATATAAAACTTGTACTTGTCAACAAATATATTTGAAATTAACTGAAAAATAACTTGTTATGTAGAGTACAACTTCGCGGAAAATATAGTGAACCGTTACTGAATAGTGTAAAAAATATAATGGAGTATAGAGTATGTCAAAAAGAAAATATTCGACTAAAGTACGTGACGAGTTTGTAAAGTAGTACTTGAGTTAACCCTTTATAGGGCACTCATTGAAATACTTTGAAATTCAAAAATTCAACCTTAGAGTGTTATTGGGGAAGATAACAAAACTTTATTTCTGTTGTAAATTTTTTTTAAATGTTTCAGTGTCATGTAGAAAATCAACTTGGTTCCTTGCCCTTTAGTGGTAAAAAAAAGTGTATATACACAAAATACAAGAAAAACACCTATAAGGTGAAAGGAACATGTATGTTTCAACATTAGAACATCACTTTACACGCCTGTACACAACCCGGGTATTTGTGATACTGACGTCAATGACGTATGCAAACAGACGCAGGTACCACCTCTTGGACTTCATGGGGGTGCGGTAGAGGTGTACCAGCATGTCACTCTTATCAATCCCCCCCATGTTGGCATTATAACTCCTGATGACAGCTGGACAGCTCATAGGCTCCTTCTTCTCGGTCTCACTGAAGTACCTGATGACTGAGGACATCGGCTCCACCCCCATGTCTGTTGACAGCAGAGTGACCGCTTTGTTGTCCTTCCACCTGACGGCCAGTATACCATCATCACTGGTAACGTAGTCACAAGTACCATGAGGGACAGCCTTTTTCCCCCATCTCCTTGATGGACTTGAGTGGAGGATTTCTGATTCTATTGTCCCTGGCTGTCCCCGTGTACCTGCAATTCTGATCTCGGAGGTATCGCACTAGCTCAAGGGTGGTGAAGAAGTTGTCAGCAAAGATGTCTGCGGTGGTGGGGCAGGACATGGTACTGGTCAGGACAGCGACAATCTGGCTGGTGGTGGCACCCAAGACTTTTTGTTCAGGCGTCTGGGGGACATCATGGGCCTCCAGGGTAGTCTTGCCCTGGTATAGCAACATGTCATGGATGAAGCCATCCTCAGAGGCCCTGGCCAACAACTTACAACCCCCACTTGTCTGGCTTGTTTTTGATATACTGCCTCAGGTTGCCAGCTGTCTTCCCTTTGTAGGCAACCACCACCTCCTCTCCAGACTGTTTGGGGGTCTGTGGCTCACGCCTGAAGGCAGTAGTGAGGAAGTTGAACAGTGGCCGGACTTTGAAGAAACGGTCACTGGTGCCAGGGATCTGAGTGTTGTCATAGAAGTGGATAACCCTTCTCAGCAGCCTGAACATCAGGTTGGCAACTTGAGGGACCCTGGTCTCCATGGCCCAGTAATCTCATATAGGTGAGTATGGCCAGAAAGGTCATTATTTCATTGTCATTGGTGTTGAAAATAGGGATGTCCATCCGAGCGGCATAGAAGTTGGTTTGGTAAATGATATGACTGATGATTTGGGCATCAAAGTACCTCATAAAGTACTGAAAAGGCATTTTTAAGTAGTCGGGGGGAGTGCTTGTATTCAGGAAGGGCTGTGTTGTTCAGGTCAACTTTGTGCCAGGTGGTTGGCCTGGCTGCTGACTTACTGGATTTGCTTGGCCTCTGGGCTTGTGGTGCTGGCTGCACATTATCATCATCATCATCATCATCATCATCATCGGCCTCCACTGCAGGCTGGATGCATTTCTTCTTGGCAGAGGGGCCAATGTCACTTGGGCCTGGAATGTCCTGGTTGTGGGCGGGTTGGACAAAAATCAGGGTCTGCCACATCGCCACCTTCCTCCTCGTCATCATCACTGATGGCAGGGTGGGCCGGCATTGACAACAGTCTCCCTCCGCTTGGCGTAAAACACCCGTGCAGACATTGCCTAAAAATGACACACAACATAACAACCGTTAAAAGGTCACAAACTGACAAAAATCACTCATATTCACTATTTATAGCTTTAACCCTTGTATGGTGTTCGGGTCTGTGGGACCCATTTTCATGTTTTATTTAAAGAAAAATTATACGATTCATTATTTTCAAACTCTGACTCATTGGCCTCGGCTCATTCTCTGTGAAGAACATATATCAGAAAACATTTTCAATGACCACACACTGTACACCCCCCTAAACATTTATATTACATACAGGATGTTCGGGTCCACCGGAAGAGGCTAATTAAAATGTATAAATATAATATACTGTATATAAATAAATATAGCTTTGTCAGTGTGGTTCCTTATCACAACTGATCAAGATGGCCAAACGATTATCTTCTCAGAGGGCCTTGCAATTGATTTTGGTAAAGAGAGAAGAGTGTGTGTGAGGATCACATGTCTGACAGTGACTTTGAAGAAGAGGATGTAAAGGGCAAATATTAACCATATATGTTGTTTATATTGCTTGTAATTGGGATGAAGTAAACATCTCTTGAGTATTTTAACATAAAATTGTTTGATTGTGTTGAATTAAAAACCCGAAAGTGCAGCAGGCCCACCAGACCCACGAACACTGGCTGCATAGCTAAAATATGAACACCACACAAGGGTTAATATTTCTAGAAATGGGTTAAAATTCTCTCTGAATCACCGTGTAGTGTTATAAAAACCTTTGGCAACATTAAAACATAATGACCTGAGTTGTGTTGCTTTTTTTTGTCAAGAAAATGCTGTAAGTAAGAATTGTTCAGTGCATCAGGCATATGTCCAAAAATGGACAAACCTAGTTAACTCTGGTTTTTAAGTGAACCGGGCGTATGATCAAATCACTTAGCACAACTATTCAAGTCTCTGCTGATTGGTCAAATGCCACAGTAGCGGGATCTGTGACGTAGGGTGATCTTTTCTGATTGGCTGAGTGAGGACCGCATGCTTCTCGACCTTACTGAGGTGGCCATATGTAATCTGTCCGGAAATTACCAAAAATAGTCACTTGCCCGATATTAACTGCTCATAGGATCATGCACAAAATCATGCAGTACATAGTCTCACCTGAGGGGGCGCTGTAGCCACAGCTCTGACAGGCGTGTTCCTTCTTTAGCGACATTTGTTGACTCATAATAAAGCCACATATGGAGCTGCTCCTCCGCCCTGTATGTCGGATGTAAGAGGGTTAATTTGATCATAAATGGGAGTTTAGATGGAGTCTGTTTTCTCCAGGTTTGACTCTTATGATTTTGAGTCTGATCGGAGGTTTCAGGACGGACTGAAGAGTTTAAACAACACTGAGGAAAGCAAACTGCTGGATATGAAACTGTTCTTCTACAGCAGGTATGTAAAGTCAGTTTCTCTGCAGCTTGAGCTTAATGTGTTTATAAATCAGGTGTTTTTTCATGGTGCATTCACGTGGTGTCGGACACATGCACATGATCGCCTGCTCAAGTCCGAACAACAAAAGATGAGGTGCCTGACTTGTCATAACATAGAGGGGGCAAATATGTTTTATTAATGTTAAGATACTTTATGAATTCACGTATTGCACATAACATGTTTTGCTAAAATAAAACTCAGTCTTGGCATTCACGCTTTATTTGTAGTTGTTACAACTTTCCGGACTGAAATCACGTGAACACACTGAAGTCAAACGAACGATTTCACAACTCTGGACTATCCGAGGGGCACATGAAGGCAGCATTAGCACTGTGGATGACCTTACACGAGAAGTTTTTATTTATATCAACACCTAAAAGAGTTGTTCATATTCTGAGCGTTTAATAGACCTTCTTTAAAAGAAACAAATCAGATGGACGAGCCAAAGCTAAAAAGATCTCAGGGCAATCTTCTTCACACTTAATTATTTTAATGGTTTTGTATTAACTTAAAAAAAAAAAAAATGTAAACATGTTAAGAAGGGTTCAAATCTGAGGTACTATCACCATGGGGGGCATCGGGTCAGGATGCAGGAATCCAACAAGACTTGATTTTTATGCAACAGGTTTATTTCTTTTCAAGTTAAGTGAATCAAAAGGGGTAACAGAAGACACACATGGGATTGAACATCTAGGCTGAAAGACAAAATAATATAAATACAATAAACAAGTCAAATTACATAACTTCCTGAAGGAAATAAAGTGCTTAGGACAAATTAAAATGGACTAGATAGTCACTAAAAATAGGAGTAAAAGCCACCTTACCATTGCTGAACTGTCGCCCCATGTGAGGATGAAAACATGAGTGTAAGGGAGTCTTCAATAAGGAGCAGGCAGGTGAATTCAATCTAATTAATTAGTGACAGAGTGCAAACGACAACCAATCAAGGGGGCGAGGAGAGAGTGAGAAACCAGGAAGTGTACTAAAGGAGGTGCAGTAGGAAAAGAGAGGAAGTGAAAGGAAACAAATAGTGATCTTTACTACACATGTTGACATTTAAGTGTCAGGTTTGATTTTTTCGAATACAACATTGCACCACAGAAGATGACCCTTTCTGCCCTCTCTGTCGTCACCAGGTTTGTGGAGCCGATAGACCCGACCAGCTACAAACAGCGGAGCTCTCCTTCACGTCTTGTAACCCCAGTGGACTGCAGGCTTCAGCAGCTGGACCAGGGGACTTTTTCAGATCCGGACTCTGATATCAGTGAGAACCAGACAGCTGAGATGGAGGTGAAGCCGCTTTCCTTTGCAGAGGTGATGAAACTGGTGCAGGAGGGTAAAGAAGTCCCCGGAGTGAAACAACTGGACGTAAAACCGACCAATCAGAGTCCCACACCTTCTCACATGGACAGGATACTAAAGCCGTGGGAATTATCATCTGTTTCCAAATGAACGTTTCACTCTTTATAATACTGTGAACTTAAAAATCACCTTTTCATAAATAAAAAATCAGTCTACATTACGTGGTATTATCAAAACTATGATTGAGGTTTGGTTCGGTAAAGTAATGGAGAAGCAAAACGTTCTCAAATATACCACAGGTAAACTTCACCTGACATATGATGAGTCAAAACATCAGATATTCTTTAATAGAGTTGAAGGTGTCTGTCATTTATTTCAATATTTTCAATTTTTATTACTCTACAGAACACTTCATAGGAACATACTGTGCTTTATACCGCTCTACATTAATGAACAGCTCATTTTTTTTTAATATAAGAAAACTTCATGAAAATGCGCCATGAACATTTTAAAATAAATCCTTCTTCTGAAATGTTTGTAGCATGTTGTTGAAATCATTACACTTTAACCTGCTCCAATGAATGCATCAAGTTTAACTTCATCAGTGAAAATGTGTTTGTTATCATTGGAGCTGGTTGAATTGTATACAAACTCAGAATTTAATTCTAATAAACAACTAATGCTGTTTTGATCATGAGCAATTTAACGACCCAGTTTATTACATTAACAGTTCAAATGTCCTGCAAGAACCTAAAGCTGTTTTGCGATTGCTGAAATACTGTTGAGTTTGTTTTCTTAAACGGGATCAGGAGTATTTTTACACTGTACAGCTACTTTAACTAGATTGAGAACTTCTGAGTACCTCATCCACCCTCTTGAGCGTCCAATTTTGTCCTGTATTAACGGCACAGTGGACAGAATCTAAGTAATGACCTGCATTATGTTTTTAACCTCAAAGGTCAGTTAAGATATGTTTCACAACAAACCTTTAGTTAAAAATGATTTTGAGAGATGTGCAGGAAATCCCTGAAATGCAGCGTTCAAAAGCAGCCGGCTGTATCATAGTTAATGCATCTGAGGCCAGTTTAACTACGTGATTTAAATAAGGGCTCAAATGTGGACAACAAGCACTGGATCCAGTTGTTTGATATGTTTTGGTTGTTTCATCTCATGAACCAGATTTTCTTGGGAAGTGTCATTGTCACTGTCTATCAGATTATGATGAAGAGATCAAACAGTCAAGTTTCCTCCATATGGACCCGATCATCTCAAACATCTGCAGCTGTGAGCCGCCGTCCATCCCATCATTCAGCCTTTTACTGAATTAAATTGGAGAACAATACTGACCCCTTGTGGTGAAATGTATTATTGGCATGCTAAATACCCTGATGTAAAACCTTGACAAGCACTCCAGATTCTATTTCCATCAGCTGATGTTGCATCAACACTGAGCTCATTACTACATTTACATATACAGGAGTTTGGTTGAATTATTGATTCTGATTGGCTACAGTAGGTCATTTAACTCCTGATATTGCACACGTCCTTGATTATTAACCTTAAATTGAACTTAATGCATATAGTGATTTTAAGAAGTGGCCATAGACACTCTTTGTCTTGATTTATGTGTAATTAATTGTGCTTAGGCAACAGGACCTGACAGAAATAAAATAAATAGTTATACAAAAAAAACCATCCACCTGAGTCAAACATTTTATTTAATTCATTCTAACATGACATTAGTTGTTTCCACAGAAGAAATGTCCAATGCATCGCCTTTATATTTCCAGACATCACTTCATCATTTCATAAGAAACAAACACACTAACAGTCTGAACAATCACACAACACAAACACATCCTAGGAGAAAAGTTTGCTTAGGTCTTAAGAAACCAAAACCGAAATGTACATGCAAAGTTAGCACCGTTAGCTTAGCACCATCAGGAATCCTAAACAATCAACCAATGAGGTAAATGATCTGACAGTAACATGTGGTCAGACACAGACAATAAGATTCAGCAACCTCCAGGCAAGTTAACATGATCCATTTGAACAGAGATATAAAAAAAACATGTTTGTACAATCATCATCTAGAGACATGTGAACAGTAAGAGAAAACTAGAATCAGTAAGGTTTAGGGAATAATAGACACTCATGCAAACTGATTTAATCCAGCACACCAGTGATGTATGCTTCATCATGACTGCTTCACAAAGCAAATGTTCTTATTACTGTGATGTATGGTTGTCTTTGTTTACTTATTATTCTTTTAGTGCTGAATTCAAAGATGATAATTCATAATTAATTGATCAATCATTTAGTCTCTAATATGTCCAACAAATGTGAAAAATGCTCACCACAATCTGTCAAAGTGCCGTCTCAAAAAGGCAACAGTTTTTTTTTTATTGACCACAACCAACATTTAAAACGTTTAGTTTCAAAGTAAAGCAGCAAATTATTTCATCGAGGACACTGAACGACAGCAACTGGCAAAGAAATGATCAAAACTGTTTCCTTTTATCACCTTTGAAGCTTTTAAAGGAAACAAGTCTCCCACATTAGACACTGTGCAACATGTCAAAGTCCAACCTCTGCATGATGTTCTTAACACACTGGAGTTCAAATATATATAATAAAAAAAACTCATCATCAGTTCACAACATGTTTTTGGTTTGGTTAAACAGTTTTCATTCAAAAGAGGTCAAATGTGCAAACCCAGTGAGGTTGTTCTGGACTAAAGTCGCTGGTGCACCACAGTAAGAAAAATGTTATTTGGATAGAAAGATTGGTGAATTAGCTCATAAAAGTCCAAACAATCAAATTAATTACAGCTAACAGTGAACATGATTAGATCAGTCTCAAAATCCCTGTAAAGATTATACAATAAAACAATAACAAATAATCTAGAGAGAAAACAAAGTCAACAAATCTATTCGATTCTTAAATAAATACAGGATATAAAAAGTCAAACTGCAGATTTTTAACCAATAAAAAGTGTTGAGGTAGAGAGCTAAGGTCTGGACCATGATTCAAATTCATCAGCTCTCTTTGGGTCACCTGGTTTCACTGAGTGATCCTGAATGCATCATGAGGCTGGCATGTGTCTCTCATCATTCAGATATAAAAGGCTGTAGTCCATGTTGGTTTCACTTTGAAGGTTTCTACCATAAGTGCAGGAGTCTAGAAAACCAGCATTTAGCTGCTTTTGTCTCGTGATGAACAACTTTATGAAACATTAAAAAACTTTAAATGTTAAACCTGCAAGCTCCACTGAGAGAAGCCATTTGAACAGACACTTGGTGTTTTGATTTATGTCAACTTTGATCAAATATTCATGATCTTTGAGCTCTGTTCTTGGACTCCAACAAGTCCTGAGGGATAAATATGTCCACTATGTTTACTAGAAAGACCCTGATTGTGTCTGTGTCTTCTGATGCTGGTCATGCAGTAAACAGGCCGTTGTTTTATCTACCAAAGCCTTAAATGATGAACCAGAACATGAAGCGTTGAGGGCCAGAAAACTGAAACAATAAGCTGAAAGAGGCTAAAACACTGCAGAGCTGTGGCGCTCTGAGGTCTATCAGAATAACATTTTAGCATTAATATTTTATTGCAATAAAAAAGTGTATCCAACTTATATGTAGCTAAAATTAACATACATATTTGGCTAATAGTTTTGTTTGTTTATTAAAAGCCTGCATGTTTATGATGATCCTGGAAGGCATTGTGACTCTACAGATATATCATATTTTGTCTCTATTGCAACTTTGTAGCTTGATTTTGAACTCATTGTTTCAGGAGTGATATCTCCTCATTTCATGTTACTGTTGCTGAGAGATAACGTGGTGATCTGTTAAAAATGAACCAGTTTCATGACACTGAAAAAACCTGAGACAAGCCCAAAGATAGCTGGCGCACCATGGAAACTTGCTTCCTGATCCAGACCCTGAACAACAGTATTGTTTGTATAACAGCACCATCATTTATCAGAGGGAACCTTTTAAAAAGTGTCGGTGCCTGCTGGTGGACCGTGTATGATTTACGAATCACAGTTTAAAAAAAAAAATAGAAAACATAGAGAGTCAGTAAAAAAAACAAAATGAGGTCTTTCTGATACAGAGCGGGGTTGAAATACCTTGAAATGCAGGGCAGGATAAGGCAGTAGGTTTACTGCTGCTTCTCCAACCAGAGTGTGGAGAGTCAGTTCACAGTGGTTATTCACATTCATAATAATCCTTCAGCGGAGCGAAGAGGTGACGAATCACAGGAACACTCCAGGAGCGACCCAGGACCTTCTGCCTGTGACTCCGACCCATGTTGTTCACGTCTGTGTAATGTTTGGGGAAGCCAAAGATCCTGCAAACAAATGCATTTCCATCTGTCTTAGTGCTGATGAAGAAAAATGTCCCTTTGCAATAACGACCCAACACATTGTCAGCATCACTACTAAGAAGGAAGAGGTTTCATGGCGTGTTGTTTTTTTGGCCTCATCTTTCAGCTCAGAGCTCAGTTTGTTACTTTTCTTGAACATGCCCTTCAACTTAAAACTCTTTCTGAGATTAGAAATCCTTTACCAACACAATGGTGTATATAGATTACATTTTAGACAGTATGAATTTAATTTCACAGAGACATATATGTGATTTTAGAAATGCTTACTGCTCCATCTCGGTGCACCACAGGTAGTCTTCCTTGCCGTTCATGTTGACAGGAAGTGGCCCCGTCTTGCCCTGCCTTATAGAGTTACTCTTTGTTGTGATGGTGCGGACTTTGTCAAACTAAAGGAAGAGAAGAAGAATCAAAATCGTTTTTTTTTCCCAAAAGCTGTTGAATAACTTGTTTTGGAGAGGAGAGTTCTGCAGATTGTTCTGCAGGATGTTTTAGACATTATAGTTCAGCTTCCTTTCAAACACCATACTGACCAAAGTTACCAGCACAAAGCACATTATTCATTATGTTACATTTTCAAGGCTTTACAACAATTTATCACAAACATTCTCCAAAGTATAATTAACATGTGACTTTTCATTACGTGCAGACACATCGTTCAGTAACAACAATTCAACAACAATAGACTTCAACAGACTTCAGCACTTCATCTTTCTAGAGGAGAGAAAAATAAAACATTTACCGTTGCCGTGCGTCCGACTTCCAAACAGTCCTGAAGGCTTACTTTGTCATCTAGAGACGTGGCAAGAGGCCTGAAAAGAAACAGATTTGTAAACTCCACTCTTCTTTTTCAGTTCCAGTGTTAGAACATGCATTAAGAGAGAAATATCATTAGTACGCACCTGTTCATGCCGGGGAGGTTTCCCCAGAAGTAGCGTGCTCTGTGAGCAGGACTGACCTTCACAGCGTCTATGAGAATCGGATTACACTGGAAAAAAAGAGGGAGGAAGGGTTTTATATAGTCTGTGTGGGCATTTTCATGGGACAGAGCAATGCTTTCACTGGTTATGAAATATAACCTCACCTCAAGGAATCGGCAGATATCTGACTTGTCGTTTGCACTCATGAAAACCACATTCTCAAACAACCAGAAGAACGGCCGGTCGTCGCCCTCCTTCGGCTTCAACAGGGTCAAGATGCGGTAGAACTCAAAGAAAAGCCTTCCAGTGCCCTCTGCAGGACAAACAGAGATTTCATTTAAAAAAAGATTTAAGTGAGCAGAAGATGCTGCCTTCAGCTCAGATATTTTTTCCCATTAAACACATTATCAGATTCTTCTTGTTAAATGGCAAAAAAGCCTTTAATACAAGTGGAAGCTGCATACCAAATAATCCTTTTCGAAGAGGATTGACCATGGACAGGTCGTTACAAGGACTTCCTCCAATCAGAAGGTCAAATGGACCCCATTCAGCCAGCTGCAACACATTTTGTTTGGTTTTTAGGCTTTTCAGTGGAACACTAACACAAAGAAACGAGTAAAGCATCACATTTATTTTCATTGATGGTTTGGGAGTAAACAGAAAACAAGAGAAAAATAAACTGTCCAGCCTGTACTCACGTGTTTCCTGGTGATGGTACGAACATCATTGACATATTCTATCTTCCCCTCGTGCTTGATCATCCCCACAGCGATAGAATCCTCACAAATCTCTGAAGCGATGTATCGCTCGACTTTAAGGCCGAGGTCTTTGAGCACCAGGTATCCTGTCATGACGACGCAGTAGTTAAAAGAAGGTCAACATGAGATGAATACACTGCAATCTCCATGCCTGTTTGTCCATGAAAATGTTACTGCTTTAGTGCAATAATGCCAAATGTTAGCAGAATGCACAAGTTTCTTTTAGTTTATAAGATGAATAATTAACCAACCTGTTGCAATGCCGTCAAAAAGAGAAAGCACCCTGATTGGCCTGCGCAGGTCGGCAGAGATGGAGGGATAAATTCTGTGAGGCTCCTGCGATTTCAAAAAATGAAACAAAGAATATTCAGCGACAACTCTTATCAGTAACTCAACTCTTACATAGCAGTGTTTTGTGTTAACCAGTCAGGTTTAAAGACTCTGAGTTATAGCCTTACAACTTCCCCATCAGGCTTCTAATCAGTGTTGACTTTATCTTTCCTATAGAGCTACGTTTTCCCAGAAAGCAGAGGGAACCACACCTTATAACAGACAGCTCTACAGTGGTTTTATCATTGTTGCATTGGATGGCACTGGATGTTGACGAGGTGATGTGTCCGCTTCATCAGAGGATTAGCTGGTTAACATGACAAACTGTAACGTGTGAACTGGAAATGACCAAAGAGAGAGGAAAGAGTTGTACGTACAAACTCCATGGCACTGTTGTTGACAAAGAGGTCTTGAACCTTGACACTCCAGTCCGGTCTGAGTTTGAGGTTCCCCTCGCACTGTGCTGGCTTGCAAAAGTAGCAGCTCCAGGGGTCAATATCTTTCATTTTGTCAAAGGTTCCTGGACCCACCAGGATTTCCAGGCAGTCCTTACAGAAACATCTAGGAGAGGCAGAGAAAACGGTTAACATACATGTGACATTCAGCTGGTTAACATCTTTTAAAACACTGGGCCTGATTGACAAAAGGATTGCGCAGCTTTTGTGCTGGCTAAATTTGCAAATGAGTGACTTCCCCCCTCAGAGTACCCTCACCCCCCCCCCTACCTTAGATTTGATGATATCTTATATTTGTGTGATAAGATTCAGAATAAATAAATATTTAAGTTAAATAGGAGTCAACATCGAGCAGTGTTTACCTGCAGCAGCTGGCGTTGCCGCACAGAATGACCTCCAAGCCGGCACAGCACACGGTGCAGTACGACTGGTAGCCGTCTTCATCGTAGCGATACAGCGTCTCTGTGAAGTTCATCTGCAGACAGTGACAAGATGGTGTTGCAGCATTTTGGATGTTAACAGCAGCTGTGTTTCAGATGGAGGTTAGACATTCACACACGGGGCTGGGATGGAGTAAAGCGGATCAGAAAAGTAAACAGAGAATGGATCATCGGGTCATTAGATTACCTTGCATTTTAGACAAAGGCCACCTTCAAACAACGGGTGCACCACTTCAATCTCAGAAGATCCACAACACAAACAAACATCTGAAACAACAAACCACAACGTAAGAATGAGAATTTTACTTTGATGGAACAGTTTTTAAATAATATCTTCTCCCTCCCTAAAACGTACCTTCGATTGTTTTCCCATTCTGTTTGACCTTTTCAGGTATCGATTCTGGGAAGACAAGGGGAACATAGTGATGATAACATAAAACCATATACTTAAAGCCCCAATATTTACTCTCATGAGAGTTTGAAGAGCAGACATAAATAAATGATGTCAATGTACCTCTGTTGAAGATGATGGCTTGTGTGTTCGCCTTATTTTTGTAAACATATTTCCTTTTTGCTGGAGGCTGGTAGTCGGACAGATTGGAGTCAGAAGAGTCCTGCAGTCCATTATTTGGAGCAGAATCTTTAAGAGCAGAAAAAGATTAAATTAAGAGAAATGTCACTTAAGATGCACGTTTAACACATCAAAAAGAAAACAATGTTAAAGTGAAACTGCGTAAACATCCAGACAGATGTGGATGTGTAGAGTTGTTACAAAACCAGATTTCTTTTAGGGGTGCAACGGATCATGAATGTAGAAGTTTACAGTATATTTAAGAATCTGGGGACTGATATCTTTTTTTTTTTTTTTTTACCTCCCAACAAAGTTCTTCAACATTACAAATACAACCCTGAAAGCTTTGTGGGTATACCAAAAACTTTTTTCCCCCCGTATGAGCGTTGACAATATTGAACATGTAACATATACACACAGTTCATCTGTCTGCTCCTGCACACAAAATCACAAACAGGAAGTGGTTTATTTAGGTTGAATTTAGAACTAAGGATCCACATTTTGTCAAAGCTTCAGTACTTTTGGATTCCATCGATACAAATGGCAGAGATCGGATCATTTTAAAACACAATCAAGTGTCTGATATTTTGAGTCTGCTCTATGAGGCCTTTTTCATAATCTAGTCATCAGTTAATAAGTAAATGCCCACCAGGAGGTGCGAATCCATCTGGTCCTGTAGGCAAAAATCCTCCAAGAGCCCATTCCACCATCAGCGACAGCTCTTTTTCTTTATCCTCTGCCGATGCAAAAGTCTTTTCACATCGCTCACCTGCCAGCTGCAAATAATTCATATTACATGACAAACAGTTAACAACAATAACGTCTGAGTAGTCAGCTTAAAAAGAATATATATAAGATATGTCCTTATTAAGAGGCCATTGGTTGATTGAAAGCCAGGAAACAAATGAGATTTATAACTCTATTTACATTAAATGATAAGTATTATTAAATAGAACAAAATCAAGGTTACAGTTTAGTTGTTCTCACTGGTAGTTTCTAACCTTCTCGTTTCAGCCAAATAGCTGCTGTGGCTAACTGTCCACTTGTCTTTTTCCTACAAGTCAATCAACATTTGTTTTCTAAAGCTTATAAAGGACGGGTGGAACTGTCCAACCGTCCTCCGGCCACAGAGGCAGGGGAAGACAACTTGCTCTCAAACTCCAGTCATGAGGGTGATTTAGTTGTAGTTGTCCAAGTTCTTCAGAAGCTAAACGTGGTATAACTGTGTGTAACCGACACTTGAGGAACAGCAGACTTGATTTCATGTATTATCACTCACCTCAATGATTTGGAAGATGGCTTGTTTGTAGACGGGCAAGCTGGCAAAGGAGTTTTTACAGAAGCACTTTGTGAAGTGACCTAATGGTAGAAGACTCTCTGTGTACATCTGCAACCAAAAGTGACAAAGTTGTTAGAATCTGTTTCATCACATGGGAAGTGTTTCTACCGCTTGAGATCATTAACTGCACTTTCTGACCTCTGAGAACATCCCGTCTCCGAACCACTCCACACGCCGCATACTGGGAGGAGAGGACTTTGTTTTCCAAGGCATCACCATCCCAGGCCACCAGGAAAACCCCTTCACTTTTCCCCACACCAGCTCTCCTATCGGAAAGCCTTTTCCATCCTGCAAAAAAACCCAAAAAACAGTAAGAAAGAAAATTAAAAGAAATGTAAAGACGAGATAAAAATCGAACACAGAAACACTAATTCTATGTTTAGCTCTTTTTCTGCTGATGTTGTACGTTACCTGGTAGGCTTGTTTCCGTCGTGCTCTTGGAGTTGATTTAATTGGTGATGATTCCTCTTCAGTCTAAAGTTGGAGATATTTAAAACAAAAAGGTAAGAGCGAAAAGTAATTTAAAGAAAAATCACAACTCCTCCTTAATATAATTTCATTTTTATGATTCACAATTTGATACCTTGCATCTGCAAAAAGTTTGAAGATAAATGAGATGAATCTGACAGAAGCTCTGCAAAAAAGGATTTAAGAGCCTCTGTCTCAGCAGTCTCACTTGTAGCTTATAGTGTTACCGCCCCATTCCTCATTGTAATCATGCCATCAGTTATATTTGATCTTTGTTCAGGATGCTCAGTTTTTGCATTAAGTTGTTCTTATTGATCTAGCTGTTCTCAGAGGTCAGAGGCCTTTCATTGCCCAGGGGTATTCTGGTAGTATACTTGAGTATACCTACCACCTCATCTTTGGACTCCGGACCCTTATCAAGTTTGGACCCGTTGGTTTCACCAGCCTGAAACACTGTACGGGCCTGTGGCTTCTGGCGCAAGCTGCTCTCCCAGCCATAACTCCCCCTAACGTTCCCCTGAGAGACAACACACTCCCATTACACCAAAGATGTAAATTCAAGCACATGCAAATGCAAATGAATGCCAACTCTCACACACTCATGCCTTCTTTTAGTGAAAGAAGAAATAGGATTGTAAAGTGCATAGGGCTGTTAGAAAAAAAAACAATAAAACGTCAAAGATTCATGAGAAAGAAGTGGAAACTAATAGGGCTATCACACTTGCAGAAAACTCCTGAAAAAAATCTGATCTTTCCAGGAGGAGCAATATGTGTGAATGCAAACAGCCCAATTCTTCGCTTGGACTTCACTCGGAGTTTCTCTGTCGTTTATATCCAGAGCAGTCCTCCTGAAATGATCTAGATATTTTCAGGAGTGTTTATGTGATAACGGCTTAAAGCCCAATTCACACATACTCCGTGCTCGCCACGGTCCGTCAGCGCCGCGCACTACGTTGTACTTAGCTGCCACTCTAGTCAATCATTGTGTTCGCACAGGGCGCGCTGCGGTCCGTCTCCGGAGCGAGCCACCGGCGGCACTGCGCTCTGCTCCGTTTCAAATACGCAGCGAGTCTATTTTCGCCGGAGTGCGCTGCAGGCACGCGTCAAGCTGGACAGAATATGACAGCCCGGACAGGAAGTCAGATGAGGAAAACGCACAGAGCATCCGGTCAATTTCAAAATAAAACACAATATAAGGACTCGCGATTGTATTTTTCATCACTTTATCAACATGACGTCAAAACAGGAACCGAATGAACAATAATGCATCCTCAGAAAGACAAAGCAACATGTTGTTTGCATGTTTTTCTCTTCATTCCCGCGGGATCTTGTAGTTCTCCTGTGATGTGTCATGGGTGCGCGGACGTCCCAGAAACGGATCTAGTGTGAATGGGCGCGAACCGTCCGACTGAGCAAAACCGTATGTGTGAATTGGGGTTAAGAGTCTTATAGGACGTAATTTCTCATGCAGCAGAAGTAAGTTTTGCTGCTTTCTGGTTTCTTCTATAAAGTACAGCTGACAGTAATTAAGAACAAATAAAAGACATTACTGTTGTCTTTACATTGAACTCAATCAAGTTTTTTTTTTCTGTCATTTAAACCTTCCCTTTGTTCAATTAGTTGTAAGTAGACGAAGTAGATTAGGAAACAGACGTCGAACAGAAAATAAACGGTTACCTCTTTCCAAATGACGCCCTTCTCTCCAAGAATACGGTCACCATCATCTTTTAATTCTAGGGAAGGGAACAAAGAATATTTAAATATTAGGATCACAGATACTCAACCAATGAGCTAAATTATGATTAGTTTAGTTCAACTTTTAAAAGGAGTAAAATTACACTTTCCCTGTCAAAAACCAGACAGTATGTTGTGTATGACATTTTCTTCAAGTAGTGCATGCTGGTAATGTTGATTTGAGGCAAATAAATGTTTTTCTTACCATTTATCTTTCTAAGACGGACTTCACATGGTTTCACTGTCAGAGAATGTCCATTTGAATCTAGAAAACAGGGTTTAAAGTGTAAGTAAGTTGGATCCAATGCACTGGCTTCTGAATTTCTGCTTTAACTGTATCACATGTGCAGCTCACAAATCATTGTCATCATCCCATGCAGGACGATCAACTTCCTTCTTCAATTTCCCCTGATGGACTTTTATTCTTCATACCTTCTGGGGAGTCCTTGTAGCTGGTGCTATCAGAGAGAATACTGTCAGACGTGATGTCACATTCACTCTCCGAGAACAATGCAAAGTCTTCACTCTCCAGAGCCTGATGTAGAAAAAAAACCATTAATTAAACATAAGGAAGTTTAACACAGACACAGCCAAACATGTTGATGAGCTCCATCACCTGCATACCTGAGTAAAAAGCTGCCGAGCTTGAAGTGGAGGACAGGGGAAAGACAACAGGGTCAAGACAAGCTTCCTGAAGATAGAGGTTGGTTTGGTGTCTTTCAGCACACTGGCCCAGTGTTTCTCTAGTGACGCCACTTCTGGGTTTTCCTTCTCTCCCTCCTCTGCCAGCTGATACTTAAGGAATTCCCTTGATAGCTGGTTGACCTCAGCAGGGGAACTGCAGATTCCCAGCTTGGTCCCAAGTTCCTCAACAGATTTCCCTGTCACCTCCTCCCGGCTCTGGGGATTCAGCAGCTGCGCAACACTCCTTAGCACCCCATCACTCAAGGGCAGCTCTTCTGCAATGCAACCTGTGAGCGCAATGCAGAGGGACAAAACCTCCTCTGTTAGCAGTGGCAGTGCGTCTGCAGCTTTCGACTCTTTCAGGGAGTCTTCCACAGCTTTACCACCCAGATTGAGCTCAGGGCTCAACAAGTGGAATTTCTTGTTCTTAAGGATTTGAGGATCGTGTTCTTTGAGGAAGCGAGCAGCAGCTTGCGGATGAAGGAAGAAGGAGGTGTAGGTCCCCAGCAGGCTACTGGCCTCCTCTAGGATAAGCAGCATGTCTGCTCTGGCACCTTCCTTTTTTGTCTGTAGATGCCTCTGGAAACTGTGCAGAGGTTTCAGTGACTGCTCCAGACACATAAATGTTGCCCTGAGTTTAGGATCCAGCAGCCGGGAGTGGATTGACTTGGCTTTGTTGTCTTCCTTGTTGCAAGACTCAAAGTATAATACAAGATCTGTCCATATTTCCTGCATTTTTTTGACAAAAAGGCAAAACTGAAGGCAGCTGGTGTTGACATGAAACAATGGACTTTGCACACTGTCTGAACCAAAAAGGGCTGTGAGGTTGTTGTTCTCAGTAGTGCAGGACGAGTGGTGAGCATGAATATCTCCTATCAGCTCTTGAACCTGATTGGAAAGCGCTTTAATGACTGCATGGCAAGCAGCATCAGCGACGGTGTACAGCCCTCTCAAGGCTATTAAGTTGGGGTTGAGTTCCCTGAGCTGCGAGCAGATCTGCTCCAAGGCCGCTCCGTTACCATCACAGTAAACAGCCACAAGATTATCTGAGGGTAACTTGAATTTCTCCAAGGTTTCAACCACTGCTGCCGCCGTCTGATCTTCCTCACCACCCACTGACTGAAGAGCATCCACAAATCGGACACAGTGCCTGGAGGCCTCGACATCAAAAAACCCAACAAGGACCACAGAGACAGTGTCGTCCTTTTCCAGTGTTACCCCTCCATAAATGTATACACAGTAAGGCGTGTGCTGGCAAACGGATGCAATATCTTTGGGGTACTGCGGCCCCAGTTTAAAGCGTGCAAAATCGCTTGACACCTGTTCGCCTTCAGCAGAGCCAGAATAAAACTGTTTGTAAATAAATCGAATGGCTGCTTTGCTGCAAGGCAGTGGCTCAGGCAGTTGGCTTAGTCTCACACTCGCGGAGGCTGCAGCGCTTTTGTTGTGTTTTTTGGTGTCCACATGTCGCTTGAGTTCAATAAGGCCTCTATGATATGTCACCAGGTTCTTATCACAAAAGCGGCAGTATGTGTAGTGCTCTCCCTGAGCACTCTGCTCAGCCCAGTCAAACATTTCCTTCCACTTGTCAGAGAAAGAGAACTTAGTTTTTGTCCCTGTGCCATTCTCCTCCGTGTCTGACTCCATTTTAGGTTTCGCTGCCAAAGGAGAGAAAATATTAATTCACAATGACTGAATGTGGTGATATTAAAACACACTGATTTTGTTTTGATAGCACAAGGTAAAAAAAAAACAACAGACTTACATTTACGTTGCCTGGGACGTATAATGGTATGTTCCAGGATGGGGCTGATATCACGGCCGTCTCGAGCTTTCACAGGGTCGTAGTCTTCACTTTTCACATTTGCCACGAAGAAAGCTTTGAACCACTTCAGGATCTCAAAGCTGCTTCGAACCTCCCCTTTTATGAGCTCCTCAACTGGAATGGCCTAAATTACGACCAAAACAAACAAACCATCAAACACAATTCAATCTCTTTCATAGTAAACAAGGGTAACAGCGTACTTCATTTGATATATTGCACATACTGTACACTTGTGCAAACATTGAACGCATTCTGAGATTTATATTAACAGACACCTTTCACCTATCAGCACCTTTAAATCTCCAACTTGACATGTTATATCAGTTTTGTTTATTCTTACATGAAGATTACATTTCATAGATTTATGAGGGATAATAAACTTGGACATTTTTCTGGAGAACAATAGAAAACAAAATAATAGTTTAGAACAATAAACAATTGTATGTACAGCTGCCTGCTCAACATTATTATTGAGTCCCCCACTAACACCTTATCATTATTTATATAATTTACAATGCTACCCGATTAGAGAAATGGAGTGCATACCTTTACGATGCTGTTCTTGCTTAAGGCCTCACTGAGCAGCCTGAAGTTGTGCCTATAGTCATCCTCATCTTTTGCATCAAACTTCACCTTGGTCAGGTCAACAGATCCAGGAATAACCCAGTCCATGATCTGACAGTGAGAGGCCCCTATAGGATCAAACATGATGAAGAAAACAGAAAGTGTTGATGGAGGGGAGAGGGGTTTTTTGTTGTTGTTGTGAGAAACCATGATGAGCATGATGCATGATTTTTCCACGGCACAATACTGACACTTATATGACAGCTCCCTGTTGCACTCTGTACTTTTCTGTTTGCATTTGCCACAACAGATTCAGGATGAAATCGTGCTTGTTTGCCTGCAGAGAAATGATTTAGAAGCAACCACTAAAATACAGCAGTAGCTCAACACAGCTCAACCCCACAACTGTAATAAAACTATAAAACTGTTCAATCATCAGTTATATACGGTTTATATCTTAAAGTATAACGGAAATATGGCAGTGTAATGAAACTGAAAACAAAACTCTTTGGAAACAGGTTATACAAGAACTGACAGACAGCATAAAAACATTTTTTAAAACCAGTTCTTTCTCTCCTGTCACCACCACAGACATTGAGCCAGCAGTTAAACACAACACTCAATTTGGTATGAAAGAAAAGAACATCTTGGGTATCTTTACATGATCCGGACTTCACAGATCAGCATAGTTTTAGATCTCTGTGCACCAGTGAAAACTGAAATCACATCTGTTATTGACATTCACACTGTTCACTGTTCAGGTGCGAAAGAACAACTTCATAAGTTCTGGTCGTACTGACGAATTACCTGAGCCCATGTGCCGCACATCTCTGAAGCTTGTCTTCAGCTGATTGTTGGCCCAGGTCAAGACGTAAAGGCGACTGGATTTATCGCTGGAGGAGTCTGGAGACACAACCGCTGGACTTGTCATCTTGCAGCAATCTAAAAGAAGAAAAAAACAACTGTTAACCATTTTGATTTTTACAATGCGCTGGACAAACTAACAACCCATGCTTATAACAATATGGGCGTTTTACCCAAATAATCTTAATCGAAATTTTGAATGCATTATTTTGAATTGCATTTTTAGCAATCATTGAAAGTTTGATGATGTAAGAGAGAACAACTTCATTCATTAGTGTATTGCAAGTTAAATATATTTTTATATTATTATGTTTTAAATCAGAGCCTTGTTGGATTCTGTGCTTAAAAAAAGAAGCCCACATCAGATTATCTTGGTTCTGGTGCCACCACTATCAATGTAATGCTGCCAACACAATCTGTGATAAACAGCTTAGTTTTTCAGTGATTCATACTGAACCCCTTTAAAATGGCAACTTTCCAACATTTTCCCATAAGGAAAACATGGCTGTCATGCACTGCCATGGCTGGCACCATCGAGGTGGAGGGGGTGGAAGATCAGACTGGGCCAAGAGTGGTTTCTAATCTCTATTGTCTGACTATTGAGGAGAAAGGGCGAAGGCTGTCAGTCTTTGCATTTGCAAATTCAGCTTGTATCGGACCATTTTCTGCTTCTGTGTACATCATGACACTGATCTGTGCTAAGGCTGTGGCCCACGCTGCTGCTGCTGCTGCCTCCTCTGTCTCCTCCCCTTCCTTCACAATGTATAGAAAGTGATAATGAAATCTCGCGTTGTCCATATTTTGCCGCGAACGTCCCAGCACAACTTCCACTTTTCACTACCAAAGGATACAATGTGAAAAAAACAACGTGTCAAAATAAGGGCAAGTGCTTCCACGCTGACCGGCGTTTTAACTTCCATTGTTAATGCTTGTCTTCATGATTTCACATTACACGCATCGTGAAGTAGCTTCAGTCTGGTTTCACATGAGAGCATTTATGTTTTAAGATTCAAGATTAAACCACAAAAAAAAAGATACACTCCAACAGCCGTTTACTAAGGCGTAATAACAACTGACTATCTGTGCATGCACTCATTGTTTGAGTGTACAGCAACTAGTAAATATAAACTAATACAAGTCATTATCTGGAAGTCAAAAAACCCCTCTCCGGTTCACCAGCCCATCTGCTGTTTGTACGAGCTCACCGGTCTTTGTTGCGAGCAAGCAGGAGGTTGAATTAACATCAAGCCGGGACAATAAAGCGTATTGCAATCGACCCGTGTGTGTATCATCTGTAAAGCCTGTTTCTATAGGTAGGAAGCCTCGTTAGAAAACAAGCGTTTCGTTTGATCCATAGTCAGTAACTTACCTTGGTCGTTCCCCTATAGAAATAGTCGAACCTCCAGACTCTTGCTTGCCTACAGCACAAACCGGCCCGGGTGACGTCCGCGTTATACGGAAGGATCCATTGGAGGAACGATACTGGGGGTGGGGGGGGGGCTGTCCTGTAGTAACAAACTGCCTGTTCCCCTCTTGAATAGTGACGGTATTATTGCGAAACACCCCATTAGTTTCTATAGGCCACCCCCCCCCCTCCCACAGTGGAGCACTAAACAAGTCATTGCATAGCATCGCAATTAAAATGTGCATACCAACCCGATGAATATATCAGGTAGTAGAATAATATGCCCAACATCACTAGCTCTTCGGTTGTAAACGAATAAGTCCATTTACTTTCACGGCATGAGCAAAACACCGAGCCCACAACTTTCGCACAGTCCAACAAATATTCGGGCAATAAAATGTTTGCGTCGCACTTCAGGCTAAACCCTTTTTAATGTCAATATTTAATTTAGTTTTCGTCACCAAATTAAAGCCATACAAGGCCAAATGTTTAACACTGAAACAGTAATTACATAGGTTAAAGGTTTCATGTTGGACCCGTAATGGCGGCTGTTGTATCGCTGTGGTTACATTGTATGTCCAAGACCATCATTCCCTCTTCCTGCTTGATCATACTTTGTAACTTTATCAGTGGGATGCATTTTTAAGCATTGGTCAATCAAAAAAGACTGTCTGTATCTCACTTCAGTTGTAAAACCAAAATATAAATGATTATGCAATGGACAAGGTGCAGAATCATGGCGCCTATAGGCCATTTTGAGTATAGCCTCATGTAAAAAGCGTATCGCTGACACTGTGGTCACATTAACAAATAGCTTGGTTATAATATGGTGGTTGCATTGAGTTTGGTGTAATATTCAAAATCGTAAACACTGGTACCAAAATGGCTAACAATAGACATAGAAAAAAGTAACTAACACATGATCAACAAACATCCCGATTAAGTCTTTTCTTGGATTGATTGGGAAATTACTTCATAGGCTTCTTAACAAGAACAACAAAAACTGGTAGCCTCGGCTAAAATGTTGCATAGTCTCTGTTTAATTTTCATTCCAACAGAGAAGACTTAATGTAAAGTAGCTTCATCCGTCCAACGATGGAGACGGAAAACCAAGAGGGATGCCACAGTTTACAACCAGCTTTGAACTTCAAACTCAAACGTATTATGTATGTGCTATCACAAGAACGGGGAAGAGAGGAGGTCGGGAGTTTAATGTGTTTGTCTGAGTGAGTTTGTCTGCGCAGACATCCATGTTGCAATATTTATGGAATGATACTGAGGTGTATAACCCTTCATGTGAAACTACTCCTACAGTGTGAAATACTGCTTTAATACTGAAAAACAACAAATTGTTCCTCAATGTCCTCATGATGTCATTATAAGGATAACTCCAGGCCTTTCTGAGATCATCTGCTGCCCATGGTGGTCTGCTCTAGTGGTAGCCTACAGCGGGGTCAAAGGGGTCAGGGTGGGTTTTGTTTGTATGACCACATCTCCTTCGGCCCTTCCTCCCAAAGGACGGGATAATCAAAGAATAGAGAAAGAGAAAAGTATTGGATTTTCACTTTCCTTCATTTGACTGATGTTCAGAGATGGTGGAACGGTAGAAAATGTGTGGATGCTTGTTTTTGTTCTCGTCAGAAGTCAAAATGTCCAAAAAGGGATCGGTAATTTGGAGTTCTCTGTAAAGTGTCATCATGTGATAGGTTAAGAGGTCCAGCATAGGAATTCAGGAGTCTCAATTGTGACCACGCTTACAAAAGGAGGAGAAAAGCCCACCATAAATTCCACTGGTCGAAAAGCTTGAATGACGGGTCCAGCAATGTTTAACAAGTCAAGAAGCCTTTTTTCAAGTGGAGTATAGATGGCAATAAGGTAGATGGTAGATGGTTGCTCCCATATGCATTCCCTAAGAAAATATTCAATTAGGCTTATCACTGATAGCAGCTCTTATCTGAATAGTATTTAATCTGGCATTAGTCAAGGATTGCAAGCTCTTGGGGTTTAGCCATTGTTGTAAATGATTAACTATAGAGAACCTCAATCTCAAAACATTCAAGCTCTTTCATCATTTCGTGTACCATTTGACCTTGTCTAAATGTCTAAATTGTATTAATCCATTTTTTTTTTCAGGCCCTCAGTGTACAAGTTCCCTTAACTGCACCTTCCATGAGTGTCATGCTGTGTGGAGGGAAAAGAAAAGCATAAAGGTCTGAGAACAGGGTAGAAAGGTATGAAATGGGGAGCACTCTGGGGAAATGGCTGTTTGACACTTAAATGAATGGGTATCATTTGGAAAAGCTCAGCTGTTAGAGGCACTAAAGTGGTGGCTTCTCAGGACAATTGAACTACCGGTACTTGGCCATCCTTTCATACAGTCTTTAGCTTTAGGTGTGATTGTAGAGGAGTGTTTGAAGTCTTGAAAAGTAGTTTTGCACTGTAAAAATCTTCAATGCTTGTTGATTATTTGGTTTTCTGATTGTGTATTTGACTCTGAGACTGCTTGTGATATTTTAGTTTTTGTCAAAATAGCACGTAAAGACAATAGGGCTCATTCACTAATATATGTGTAGAAATGTTGTTACTCTTCATATTGAATAAGTGCATGCACAGAATCCCGTTGGAGCATGACACTGGTCAATTTTGTGCTCACCACCTTCCGTATGCAAGTGATTCAGAATCGTTCTAAATTGACGGGCTCAATTGCAACCTGCAATCACTATACTCCCACACCCCCATCGCTTAATATAAGGACATCTGATTGGTGTATCAAGCTGAGAGTGGTGAGGTGAAGACAAGTAGAATCTGCAATAAATTATGGACCCTGCATGCCCATAACATTTCAATCTGTACGTTTTAATATTCTTCATTGTAAACTAAGTCTTTATTAATTTAGATTTAGAAAGATTTTAAGTAAAATAAGGAAAACAAACAAAAACTTTACCAAGGGAATTTTCTAGCTTTTTAGCTGCCAAATGCTAAACCTTGTTAACCGGCAATTCATCAAGACTGGGTCTCTTTGGTGTATCGGCCTAAGTCTTGAAACAGAGTTAAAGTTGGAGTAGTAAGAGAAGAACTGACACATCGTTGGTTTGGGGTTTTATTGGGATTTCTTGACTGAAAGACAAGCTCAGAAAAATACTATTTGCACTTTTAAATAAGTGCAACCCATGCTTTATGTGATTAAAATAAGACAAACGAAAACTTTGAACATGACACAGTCAACGACTATAACAAAATAGTCCTCTGTTTTAAACTAATGGGCTCATAGCTACAAAATCTCAACTAAACCACGCTGCACTAGACTGTCGTGTGGTATTGACAAAACAAACAGTGGTCTGAAAACAGGGAAAGGAAAGTCTGTAAAGGGAAGAAAAAAGACTGACAAAGGTCAGGGGGAGCATTCAAGGGATACGGATTAGAAGACAAAGCCTGACAGGTGCAATCAGATGTGTCACACAGCTGTGGTAAAGTGGCTGCCAATGCAGCCATGGGGTGCCGCTATGAGCACGTCACAGCCAATCAGGAGGGCAGAATGAGAGCTGTAGAGTGTTGGGCACAGGTGGCTCTGACTGATCCTGAATGTGAGAGAGAGAGAAGTTGGGGTTGATCAAACATGCAAATCAGCTGTTTTTAAATGATCAGGAAGTAGTCTGGTTTGCTGTCACAGCAGTTTCAGTCGCCTTTTGACAACTTGTGCGTGACTTGACCAGCAGAATGTCTGACCACTTAACTCATTCATGCACGTCGTGTGAAATGCAGATGTTGTGTCCAAGATAACGCTTCAGTTATGAGCGGTGGTTCGGTCACAGGGGTCACAAATACAATCTGCCTTTGTGTCGAAGAAACTGGCTTCCTCTGGGCCCCCCAAAGCCTGGCAGACCACAGAGGGGTGTTCGAGTTTGGGCTTACTGACATGTAACTTCTCCAAGAGAGGTGTGGAGGAAACTGGTTTGACATTTCTGCATAAATTTCAACATGTTTATCACAATTTTGAAAACTGCTATATGAATTGCTCTGGAAATACGACGTGTTCTGTCACATGTAGCTCACTATCGTGCAGTGAATTTAGCTCATTTTCATGGAGGAACTTGTTTTTACACACTAGCTATAAAATGGGAGGTTCACATCGCATGAATACAAACAAATTGTCAAAGAAAGTTTTTGCATGATTCTGTTTATTCAAAAAACCCCGTGGCTTGCTATGTAAATGTCAGCTGTCAGAATCAACTTGCAGAGACTTGAACTTCTCTCAGGAGACCACAGTCAAGTTTGTGTTCGGTCACTTTTAGTTGTGTAAGAAACACTTTTGAGAGCATTTACTGTTTAGTTTCTCGTTGGTAAATTCAACGATGACGGCTGACATTTAAGAGATGGCTCCTTAAAAGCTCTGTTTGAGGAAGCAATGAACAAACATGAATGTACAGACACTAAATGATATTGTGCAGTTGTTTGACACTTGAATGCAGCGAGAATGGTTAATGTGCTTGCACAAAGTGAATTATTTACACATTTAGCAGGTCACAGGGCAAAAATATCATGAACTGTGTTCAGTTTGTTGGCCATCTAATGAATGTAATCAAATGTGCACTCTTTTAGAGCTCATTTTTGCTCAATTTAAGGCTGTACACCGCCTTGAGTCTCCGCTCCTCATGCTGTGTGCTCATTTACGCCCCCTCGTGGATTCACAAAGAAAATGAGGGTGAAAGGAGAAGGGTGGAGGCCTCCTCTTCAGCTCTATAATCCTGAGTCAAAGCAGTGCACGTGTGGAGAAACAAGCTCACACTTTGGAGGAGTGAGAGCCGGAGCTGAGGCCCTTATCTCCCCCACCCCCCATGATTAACCACACTCATCGCCCTCTATGGTCCGTCGTTTCCTGTTACTAAGTTACCAGTTGCCATGATTTGCCTGGGCCGCTTGTGTTTCCATGGCGACTGTGCCCATTCTGTCGTCTCCTGGCTGCGCTGTCCCGATGGCCTGTATCCACCCCGGGCCCTGACCCACACCACAAGTCCCTCCACCCCCCTCCCTC